AGCGGGAGTAGGCCTGTTGGTAAGCAGAGGTTAAACAGGCGGGTTAGGAATGCTAAAATTAGCAGAATCTCATGGATTTTTGAATGTCTTAGTGGTTATGTGGAAATGCCCTTAATTTGCTTTGTATTTCCCCCAAAGGTTTTCAGTATTCTTGTGTAATACTGTTGAATGGAGGTAGAATTATTGTGAGTTATGTAATCAAAGGGAAATCAAAGTCCTTGTTTAAGACATCAGCTGCAGTGTTTGAGAGGCGTTGCTGTCCTTACTTCGTAACAAGTTCATTTCTTTCAGTACCATCCAGATGCCTGATCTCAGGGTCTGTCTAAACATGGTTCTGCCTGTGAGCAGGGCCCCACTCTGGTGCCTTCATCTCTCCATTCCCTCTTCCTCTCCTCCCACTTCTTTTCAGTGTGTTTTTCTCTATTCAGCTCTCTCATTCCATCAGTTTATGGAATTCCATCAGTTTATCTCAGGGAACAAAGAATGTAGGCCAACTCCAAAGTACTGCTTTCTGATTTTTCTTGTTTTAATTATGTTTGAATTGTTTTAGGTATCTGTAACATTTGTCTTAAGCAGTATTTTGGTATGTTGAAGGCACACAAAGACAAACTGTTGATCAAGATTTAGAGACTTAGCTTTGAGAATTAGCTTGTGTTGAAAAGAAAAGCACCTGACAAGCATGGGAGATGCTTGCCAAACTACTGTTCGTTAACCATATTTATAAAAAAAAAATAAATAAATCACAGGTCACTTTCTAGTGAAGTTGTTCTGAATAGTAATCCATGACATGACTATGCAGAAAGCTGTAAATCTTTGCAAGTGGCCTTTGATAAATCATCACAAGCCTTTTTTCTGGTCCTTCTCAGAAATTAATGTGTTTTTACTGTCTTGCCTCTCTTCTGCTTAGGCAGCCTGCATGGTTCTGTTAGTATCAAGGCACAGTAAGGCTTGAAAAGTTAAATAGTGCTTCGGGTCAAATGTAAAAATGACAGAACTTGATATTATGGAAGAAAGCAATGTATAGCAGAGGAGGAAAGAGTATCTGCTATTCATAGCCCTTTGTGCATGAGAGGAAGACAAAGAGACTTAAAAACTAGCACAGCTCTTTACTGTGCACTCCCARAGGTCTATTCTGTGTTCTGTAGGCTGCAGTCAAACTAGAGTTTGGAACAAGTGACTGCAACTGGAGGAGTGCTGCTCATGTCAGTGTTACTCAGTGGAGCCCCCTGCACYGATGCCTGAGATAGCTGGTGAGCTGGGAGCGCATATAACAAATTTAAGTCCATTCTTGCAGGGTTTGCTTGAACTGATCTTGAGAGAAAGATGTGCTTGTAGCTTCTGGTTATTAGTGTCTTAGCTTTCCTCCAGTGCTGTGGGTTGAAATAGCCAGGGCTATGAAATAGCCATAATCAGATGTCTTTGGTTGCCTTCATATTAATTGCCATTCTAACATCTCTCTCTTCTTTTCTATCTTTAGCTTATGTTGTGTTCATTTTCATGCACCAGCCTGCTTTGTGCTGACCTAAGAAGTCCTCCTTGAGGAGAAACCTTCCTAAAATGTTTCAACCATAATTCCTGTGAGAGCAATGTAGTCTAGTAATGGCAGGAAGATACCGTGATGTTGCTGGTAGGATTCTTTGCAGAGTAGTGTGGAGTAGCAAATAACACAAGCTTTAAAAAAAAAAAAAAAAAAAAAAAAAAAAAAAAAAAAAAAAAAAAAAAAGAGAGAGAGAGAGAGAAGGTGAGAATGGCAACTAATTTGAACATAATTAAAAGTATTTCCATATTAATGAAAATAAAGTAAAACAGAACATTGGAAAGAAGTGGGTAAGTTGTCCTTTTACAGTCTTATAAAAGTTAGAGGTTCCTAAAGGCTAACATTTTATTAACGTTATTACAGAGAGTTGGTGGGCCCTTATACTACGCTACTTAGGGAAYGGTTACAGAAGCAGCTGCTCTGCTCTGAATTGTTCTCCTGTACATAGGAGTTGTACTGAATAGGTAATATGCTGGAAGAAAAATTTAGGAGATCTGTGCTAGCCTCCCTCTGAGCCCAGAGGTGATTTGTTAATTTAATTCTACCTTCATTAATTATTAGCAGTGTAAAAACTTCRAAATACTAGATGAACAACTGGACATAATCCTTTGACTGGAAATAGTGGGAACTTGCCTTTTTGTGTCAGTCATCTGCTGGATAAAGTGTCTGTGTTTGGAACAGATGCTTGTTTGCTTTGGATTTGATCATATGCCATGCATGTTTGCACTGTGTTTTCAGTGCAAATGAAAGAGATTCCCCCTAAGATTTGAGAGAAAAGCAGGAAGAAGGGAAGAAACTTCTATGTGGGAATACGTGGAACCCAGCCCAGGCCACTCTCTAGCCAAGCTGCAGCTTTCCTTGCTTTGGAGAACTGTACTGGTGTTGGAATGGGCTGAATTCTAGAGTTTTGCTGGTATTTCTGAAGCCTGTGGGCTTCATGGCTTTTGACATTTGTATTTTCCCAGTACACTAGATAAGCCTCTGCTTGAAATGTTTAATGAATTATACAGTATGTTTGTAAAAGTTCTTCAGTCGTGGTGGATGATAAATAAGTAATGCTTATGTTTATGCTAAGCAAGTGATTTATTATGTGCAATGTGAGAGCTTCCTTCCATGTAATACACTGTGTAATAAGTAAATGGCAGCAAGACTGTTTCTTAGTCCTCCTTATGAAGCAAAGCAGTGCTTGGAGGCAGAATACCAGACATGATGGACAGCTGGCCTGATCTGCTGTGCCTAATTCTGCTATTTCTACAATAGAAATGGCTTTTGTGTTTAAAAGGCTGAATGTTGATTATGGATGTTTAGGCAAAATGATTCGAATGGATAAACTTTGTGTGTGTCCTGTTTAAAATCTGAATTTGGTCCTATGTGTACCATGGAAAACTGATTCACCTAAACCCACAGTAATGCAAATGATTATCTACATATTCTTCAACAGAAATCTAATATCTTCAGCAGTTTAAGAAAAATAAAGTTAGGAGAAAAGTGCATTTTTACAGTCTTTAAAATGATAAAATAGGTGTAAGGAGAGCCGGTCGTCTTTGATCAGCCAGTTTTCTCCAGGTCAGACATCTACACGGAATTCAAGAACAAGGATATACCTTTTTCCTTAGGCAGCCCAGTTTGTTTCGTTTCTCCTCGCATGTCTTTGGCACATGATTAATACTCCTTTATGTGTTCCATGAAGTTGAAAGTTGCAGTGAAGTTAGGGGTAAGTCAAGAGATCCCACGGAGAAGAAAAGCAAAATACCAAGTTCATTTAATCTTTGCATCGTTTCCACCCTGCAGTCCCATGAATTGGGTTCCCGTTGCCCCGTGCATGAGCAGCTGAGCAGCGTCACAGCTGTGAATGCACCAGGAGCTCCGGCATTTCTCCAGCCCGATGTTGAACGTCACAGCGCCCTGTGCTCCCAGTTTGGTTCCARGGGGGGGAATCCCACCCAGTGGGTCATGGGGCCATGTGACGGAGCACGTGTGTACGGCAAGGTCGGGGACCGCGGGAGCGCTGGGGCTCCCCGGCGGCTGCAACTGCTCGAGCCCGTKTTTTCTGTGCTGCATGACAGGGGAATAAAAAAGCCTTAAGCAAAATGATTTAACTGTCTTCCCCGCACTTGGTGAGGAGAAATGTTTGTGTCCATGTTTGGCCGTTTGAAGCCCATGTTTTATTTTTAGACGAGCTTCTTGGAGGAGAACTCCAGAGCAATACAGGGAAAATCCCCTTAAAGCAGAAACAGCCCCTGAGTGCTTATGAGACCCGAACTCTTCCTAGCAGACTGCCGGCTGAACTTCACTGTCCAGCCAGCCCGTCCTGCACCCCTAGCAGTGGAGGGAAAAAGGTGACCTGTGTCTGCAGCCTGGGGGGGACACTGCCCTTYGGCATCAAATAAAGTGGCCTCAGGAGTGCCCCAGATTTACTTCGTGTTCTCCAGTGCAGCCGAGGTCGGTAACGTGTTGRGTCCCGTGTGGTGGTGTCCTGGTCACCCGCGTTCCCCTTGGGTTTCCCACCTTGGGGCTTCCAGCAGAAAGGCAGTGCTCCAGCTGGGACGTGGGGCATTTATTAATAATGGCCTGGTGTCAGGTAAACTAGAGCTAAATTATTCATAAATACTGATTAAAATTTAATGAAACAGAGGTGCTTGCTTTTAAAATAAGAAATAAGGGTATAGTGGTCAGTAAGGTGTATTTTTTATGCTGCTATTTTTTTTTGTATTGAGCAACTTGCTGTTTTATTGCTTGGCATGTTAGATAGGCCTGGTGGTGGTGGGGGGGGGGGTGTGTATGTGTGTACACGGGTGGTGACAAAGTGCCTATGTGTTTTTAAGTGCAACGTCCTGATACTCGGGTATCGCTGTGTGAGTTGCCAAGCATAGGGGTCAGAAGGGGGTATTGGGAGCTCTGCCCTGTGTTTCTCCAGCCTGCGATTCGATGCCTCTTATTGCCCCTCTGCTCCTCCCTCGCTCCCCACGGTTGAAGTAGGGGAATGGAAGAGGTGGGAGAGGGTCCGGGACTTGGTTTTGGTACCTCTCTAGTCTGGGTATCAGAATAGCCCATTGCTCAGTGCTGCAGCCTCTGCAGCCTGTTTGATCTTGCAGACAAATTTTGTCCTTTGAGGAATACCGTGGATACTGAAGGACAGACACACTGTGGTATTATACTTTGCAATATTTACGTTTGTTGTTTTAAATGTAACACTGTACGTGTATGGTTCTCAACTGCATAAATATGTTTGACTTCCTTARCAATAAAGAGTAATTTGTGTTTTGTTTTTAAGGATACTTTTTTCCCCCCTCTAAGGTAGCATCTGGTAAGTCACGTTACTGCCCATACAGTTTTTTGATTCCGTGCTTTAACAGGACTAAGCCTAGTGTCCCACCGCAGGTACTTCCACCCTTGGGCAGTTGCTGTTACTGACTTCACTACATTTATAGCAGAAGTTATTTTCTACTTTGGCTTCAAAGTGCATGTAATGTTTGGAAATACTTTAATTTTTAATTGCAGTCTGTGATAAAGTTTTCTTTACTTTAAGAATAYTTTTAGTAAAGCTGATCTTATTGGSTGACTTTCTGGTTCCAGTAAAACTAATGGGAATTTTTCTGTTTGCCTTCACGCAGGCCAGGATTTCATTCATTGCACACAAATGAACCATTTTAATTCTTTACCAGCACTTTACAAGCACAGTTTCTTGGTGATGAAACATAATTTCATTGTATTTCGTTATGAAAATTTTAAAGCAGTTTGTTTGACCTCTAGTGTCGAGCTATGAAATTGCATCCCGTTGACATGAAAATATCTTGCATTTCAGAAAAACCCGTCTCCCCCAAATCAGGTACATTGAAGAGTCCTCCTAAAGGCTTTGACACGTCTGCAATTAGCAAAAGCTATTACAATGTGGTGAGTGATTCTTTTTTTCTCTATGTGAGCTGTTTTATACAGTAGAACTTCATTTATATGGGTGCTCTTACCTGTGCAAAAAAAAAATAAATAAAAATCGTAGCCTTTCCAGAGCTTTAGTGCCAAAGCTGAAGAGGGACTTTGGTGAATTTTCACATTACCAAGATTATTATTATTAGATTTATGAAATACTGCATGTGGCTTTGCAAGTATAGTGCAAAATYATCATCTAAAGTAGGTAAATAATAACTATTTCTGTAATACATCATGCTTATTTTATGTGCTTAGCTAGTTGGTGATTGTTCTTTCTTCTGCCCCAAATATGCAATCAGTCTTTCCCAATCACCATGAATTAATGCAATTCTGCTGTGTTAAAATGTTTCAGAATATTCTGTCCTCTGTGTTGAACAAGGCACCGAACACTTTGAATTAATTTTGCTCCTTTGCGTTTGTGCTCATGAACCAATTCGGTTACCAGCTCCTGGAACCGCTGCCTTATTTGTACCCTTGGATGGATTTTGGGACAGAAGTATGGCCAGGGAGGGCYGTGATAATCCCAATCCTACTACATTCCAAGGATTTCTTTAGGTTGATAGGTGAAACGCATGAAACCCTCTGCCTAAACGTGTTGTAACCGTTTGGAGAACGTTGTGTTTGCTCCCAGTAAATTGAACAGCCCGTACCCCGGGGCGCAGGAAGCGCCGCTCCGCCGTGGTGGCAACGGCGGCTCCCTCCCCGTGCAGACTGCCTTGGCCTCGGCCTTTGCTGCAGCGCTCGGTTCACTTCTCCTCTTTGCCCGTTTTCAGTGGGAGCATAAAAGTTAATCTTAAACCCTCCCCTGAGGTCTGAGAGCCTTGTGATGGGGTGGCACGAGCAGCGCGAGGCACCCGGAGCCCCTGGCACTCGCCCCTTTGGCGCAGCCGCCGGTAGCCCTAACGCCCCGGGGAGCGAGGGGCTGAGCTCCCGCTTTGGCTATGGCATCCGTGCTGGATGGCGGGAAGAATGCCCGCGTGGGCTCGTGCCCCGTCGTGCTGCGGGGACTCACACGCCCCACAGCAGGCGGTCACTTTGCTCTCTGCGGTGTTTTTCTTTCCGTTGGAAAGTGTGGAAGTCCCTCCCTTTCAAATGCATCTTCTCTTTCTTGGCTATTTCTATCCTTGCTGACTCTGCTCTGGAAAGTAAGTAGAAAGGAGTCAATGCAACTTATAATACACTTCAGTAAACGGAAACCAGGTAGATTGGAAAATTGTGCTGATGTTATTTTGCTCAAAAAACCCACCCAACCAACTCAAACCTCTTCTTTTTTACYTGCAAGTTAACTGAAGCAAATGTAGTGAAGAGATGATTTATTTTCTCCACTAAGCAAAGGCTGGTTTTATTTACCATTATGTGTAATCTACCACTGTGTTGAAGCTTTAATTAAAATAAGTTTGTTGGCTCTCTGGATACCAATCCTTGAGGTTTAAAGAAAAAAAAGAATAGAGATAGTGGTAAATGCATAATAATTTATACATAGGATATGGTTTCTCTAACAGRTCTTTAATATTGTAGAAAAGCAAGAGTTGCAGCTATTTCATTTGTGCTTAACTACAGCTGCAGTTTAACTGTGCTACTAATTAGTTGAATCTTTTTAGTTTCATATTTCATGTTGTAAGAGTAATACAGAGCAGCTTTGAGAGTAGCAGTGTCCTTTGCTGAAAATGGTAGAAAACATGGTTGAATTTGCCTGAAATCGTAAATAAGGAGACAGAGTTTTAAAAAGCCATGCAATTTCGATGTCACTTCTCCATTTGGTTCTTTTCCTTAGACTGTCCCCCTAGATCCTCTACTGCAGTTGTTGTGAGTTACTGTTTACTTTAGGAAATGTGCAGCAGCAGCTGCCTCTTAACGTTGTTTCATTGCAACAATAACAACAGCAGGGGAATTAACGGCAGTCATTGCGCCTTTACACCTGCTTTTGGGTATCAGGTTCGGGCTATTTTCTCACTCGTATTTTGCACTTGGTAACCACCGCAGAATTTAACACTTAATGTGTCCAGAAGAAAATCATGTCAGCTTATATGGTAAATGTCTGAAGACCAGCTGTTTTGAAAAGAAAGTAAGAAAAGGGTATACTCCATACTCCACAGCATGACCTTGTTTTTCACTTGTCCATTTGAGAAGTGCTTTTGAGGCTGCACTTTTGAAGCTGGATCAGGTCTTTGCATATGTTGAAGCTTGTAGGTTTTTGAGAACCCTTAGTGGAATAGCCGTGTGCGTGGCGCTTGGCACGTCGGTCTCGAGAGCCTGCCCTAAAGCACGTGCCCTGCCGGYCCTCATGACCCGGGAGGGTTTGACACTCGTCGTTATTTGCTGAAGTGTGGCGGCTTTTAGCCGARTGCCGTGCTGCTCAAGTGAGAAGGGAATAAATCTCTTCCTACATCCGCCCACACCTGGGTTTGGAGAGCCATCTCTATCGTGCGGGTCACTGAAATTCATTTTGGGTGGCAGCGGTGGCTTTTTGCCTCGGAGGGTTGCAGGGGTTTTGTGCGACAGAATTGTTCCCTGTGCTTGATTCTTCCGTGCCTTGTGACTGAGAGAGCTTGTGCTGCATGAGCTCAGTTTTCTGCGCTATTCATCAGCGTTATGGATTGTAAAAGCTGCCATTTCCATGCTGCCCTTTTGGCACTCGCTCTTCTCCGTGCGAATGTGGTGGTGGAGTTTTGGGAGCGAGGTCCTCGAGGTCCCATGGGCTCTTGCAGCAGCCAGAACCCGCAGCGAGCGGCCAAGGGAACGAAGGTGACTATCAGATAACCCGGGGAGGGGCCGAGAGGAGGGCTGGGGGGTGCTCTGCTGCCAAAACACTGAGTTACAGTCCCGGGCACCTCTCTCTCCAAACTCAGTCCAGTCGTCTTAACCTGACGGCTTCTGTGTGGCGAGTCCTGCCGGCAGCAGGCACGGATTCGCAGAACGCGCGTTTGAAAGCGGCTTGAGCAGGACTAGTCCCTTTTGAAAGATATTCAAGGTAAAACGATGTTGCGTGCAGTGGAACCTGTGCTCGTATAGGAGGGGAAAAATAATGTGTTCAGAAAGCTGTTTGGAAGTATGTGCATGTCTAACRTGGTGCATCCCACTGGAAACTTTGGCGGTAATGCAGAGCAGTGTAGGTGAATGTAGGAGTTTGTGTGGGTTTTGTGATAGTTTTGTTTACTGCTGCATTTGTTTTCATTTCTCTGGTAATTTGCCAGGTTCCTGCTTGTATTTTTTAAACTTTCATGGCTTTTGCCTCCTTCAAATCATTTGCTGCAATTCTTTCTTCCCCACGTGCTGAAGAAAACCCTGAAATAAAAATCCTAACAAGTGCAGGAAAATAACCGAGCAATGTTAAGCATGAAATTTATTTCATCTTGAAGTTTTCAGGCAGCTGCTCTGTCAAAGAAYGGAAAATACTCTTTGAGAACACGCAGCAGTGGTGCAGCTCTTCAAAATCTGCAGCAAATTTGTGTTTTATCTTTGAATGCCTTCTGATATTGTTCAGCACTTCATCAAGAATGAAAATTTTTGTCCCTGGGTCTCAGCCTCCTTTTCCCTGCTGATGGCTGTGTAACAGCCTTGGGATGGGAGATTTTGTGGGGAAAACCATAGTAGAAGAGATTGGTCTTGCGCTTAGACCTGAACCTGGTGCCTGCTAAATACTTGTGCATTTTGATTTGAACAGTAGACTTTTGTTGTGTGTATATGTGAGAACATGGATTCTATTTCTACAATCAAGAGAAATTAGATTTTTTTCTAAGTAGTCCAAGTTCTTAGCTGATTCCTCTTCACAATTTGCACATCCCTGCTGCACTGTGCRTTGCAGTTTCCTAATTAAAAGCTGTAGCTTTCTCTGTGACGCCCCTCTGTCAGTGCTTAGCAGAGAATGGAGACATTTTAATCTTTGGTTCAGGATTCAGATTCCCAACAAAAGAATGAACTCAAAAGTGGTCTCTCTCTTGCTCCCCATGAATAGAACCATTGAGGGAATCAGCAGAATCAATGACACCAATGAAAGGAACAGTGAATTCTCCATTGACATACTGAACTATTTAAAGTTATTTCATCAGGTTTGCATTTAGGAATGAATGGCTTTTTCATCTCCTTAAAAAAGAGAGAGGGAGAGAGTATTGACTGCAACAGTGAATAATGCACATAATGCAGTCCTTACTGTAAATGCCAAAATAAGATATTAATGTTGGTTTGACAGATACAGCACATAGCAGAAAGGGAATGTTTGTGATGAGGCTTGTAAGCAGTGAATTGCAATAATTTTTCAAGTATAACTGTGCTCAGTGAATTGCATTTAATTCTTACACTTCTCTGGTAATTTATCAGCTTTTTGGAGCAGCAGGTAAGCTCTCTGTTAGAAGTGTAGGAGAATTTGCTCTGAATGCATTTGAGGATGTCCTGAAGCAGGCTCCTTGGAGAGGGCCCAATAAAGTGCCTGTTCTGCATATTTCAGGGTAGTCCAAGTTGCTTGATTTATATGCAAACAAAAAACAAACGTGTGTGGTCTTTTCTAAATCACAGGCCAGAATCTGTTGGAACTATTTTTAATGTAGTTTTATACTTAGGTACTTTTGGCCAAAGCGCAGACGTCCMCATTTAAAAAGAATGAGGTCAGGCTAATGATGTCGCTAAGTAAAGCTGATGATTATTTGATTTTTATAAGTCTGTTTGGTATTCAGGCTTTCCAGTTCAAGTGTCTCAATAAGTACACACTTTGCTAACAAGATTAGATGTTGCATGTTGTACTAGAGAACATAACACCCGCTGTTCATTTCTCTTGTGACTTGTCATGTGCTTATCCATTCTCTGGGGATGGTTGATTGTTCTGAGGTGCATGGGGAATAATCACTGTGAGCTCYGGGGAGCACTCGGTAGAGCACCCAGGTTTTACATGAAATGTTTCCTTTAAAGTRAAACTCCTGCTAACTTGACACATCTCTTTTTTGGGTATAAAACTAAGTTTCCTCCCAGGTTTTATTGATTCATTACTTAATGGTTTGTTGCTGGTGYTTGTTTATTTTCCAAGTGCTAAGAAAATTTTTACTGTTTTACAGCTAGTGATGATTTTAACATTTTGARATCTCGTCTAAAAATACTGATTAGCAGCTGTCATTTATTTTAGGTGCTACAAAATATTTTAGAAACAGAAAATGAATATGCTAAGGAGCTACAGACGATACTTTCAAACTACCTGCGACCATTACAAGCCAGTGAAAAGTATGTGAGTTTGTCTTTTTAAAATAACAGGCTTAAGATCTCTGATGTGCTGGGGAGAGGTTGTGTGATCCAAACTTCAGTTTGGATTTATGGATCTTCAGGATTTATGTGCATTTTCATTGTGGACTGCAAGATCCCAGAGGCAGGGCTTGCTTTTAGTTTCTGTTCTTTGATCAGGACAGGCCTAGTCCTRGTTCTTGATATAAGACCAAGCAAGCTTTTTCTTTTAATAGAGATTTTATTAAAGCACAAATGGTCAACAAATGTAAACCTGTAAACCTGTTATTTATCTTGGCTCCAGGTTAAACTCAACAAATACTTCATACTTAATGGGGAACCTGGAAGAAATAAGTTCTTTTCAGCAAATGCTTGTACAGTCTTTAGAAGAATGCACCAAGTAAGTACCATGTATACGTGATACCAGAGAATTCTAGCGAGCAGGTATTTTTACTGTTATTTTGCTTCTTGTGTATGTTAATGTTTGAGATTAAAAAARTGGKTTTTTTTTTCATTTTAAGAATAGTTGTTACAGCGGTAAAGCATTATATGTTTGGATAATGCACTCCCTGCTTGCTCAGGTTGGCCCTAAGATAAAATGCTAAGAGCTTGGAACAGTTTGGAACAGTTTGGAAACAGTTTACAAAATGTTACAGTGCAGTTAACATACACATACCAGCGGAGAAGTTAAAAAGGAAGCCACGTTTTCTTTTTGGAAGCCTGAGTTTATGAGCTACSTCTATCAAAAGCATCTCTAGCATATGTTCTAGATCAGCTCTCTGTGGTTTTGTGGGTTTTTGGTTTTGTTTTCTCTTTACTCCACCTTCCTATCCATCAGGCTGCTGTAATATAAGGTGAATCTTTGTGGTCACTTTGTGGGGCTATATGAGCTGCATCCCCWCTGGCTGGCAGCGTCTGTCTGGGTCCATTGCTGACTTTGGGGCCTTCTTCACCCCACCACCCAGATTCTCCACACATCTTACACAGGAGGGGATGGAAGGATGGGTAGTTCAGATYGCTCTTTAGCGAAGAAATAAAACTGCTCCTGAAATGGCCTTTCTTCCGCACTGTTTCTAAGGAAGTTTGTTCCTTTTTTGGCAAGTTGAATTTAGGACTTGATTAGTTAAGTGTGTAATTGCCTGAGAATGGATTACTCTGCTTGCTTAAATGTTTCCTTTCTTTTCTTGTCAGTTTGCTTTCTATTGTCTCATTCTCTTGTTACCCTTATATTGTTTCTGTGAATCATAAGGAAGCTAGAGAAAAGGAGACCTTGCTTTTAACCAGGCTGTCAGCTTCTAAAACTGTTTTGATTAAGGTCTACTTAAAAACAAGAGTGGAAGACCATATATTTTTAAACAAGGGACTCAATTCAATCTGTTGAAATGTTAATGCAAGATCTTTTTTAATTTGATGCATAGATTAATACGATACCTTTATACAAGAAGGCTCATTGAGAATTCCTTGTGTGATTTACGCTGTGGTAGAGTCCTTCTCAGCGTGTCCTGTATTTCCTGCTGGGAAGTGAGGTGTTGTTGCYGTGTAATCCATTGGGGACATTACGGATGCCAGTAGGTGGGTAGGGGAAGTGATGCCCCCTGGTAACCGAAGACAACAAATGTTTTGTACTAATTTCTTTTTGTAAATATGTTGGCTGTGCCAAGTTGTATTTTCAGTTTGATTTTCGTGGTAGCATATTGACTTGAGTGGCCAACRTTCTGGCTGCTCTAAATCTAATCCATCTTAATTCCCATCATGTAGAAGAAAGCCTGCTCTGCTGCCTTAGGTTCTGTCAGTTTGCCATCTTGTTTTGGCTGGTGAACTTGTTCTTATAAACTCAGAGTAGCTTCCGGGCTGAAAATAAATTTATTGTAGTTTATTTTTGGCAGATAGTTTATAGTTCAATCATTCAGACTCTTCATATTGCAGCATCCGGCGCAGTGTTTGTTTTTCTGATTTCACATGTCAGAATGACCAAAAGTTGACGTTCTGCCCRTTGTAGTGTTGCCAGAATCCCAGAATGGAGGGGAGGCTGGAAGGGACCTCCAGAGATCGTCTAGTCAACCCCGCTGCTCCAGCAGGGACACCCAGAGCACGGGGCACAGGGCGGTATTCAGGTGCATTTGGAAGATCTCCGGAGAAGAAGACTCCACAGCCTCCCTGGGCAGCCTGTGCCAGGGCTCTGGCACCCTCACAGGAAAGAAGTTCTTCCTCATATGGAGATGGAGCTGCCTGTGTTTCAACTTGCACCCACTGCCCCTTGTCCTGTCACTGGCCACCACCAAGAAGAGTTTGGCCCCTTCCTCTCTACATTCACCCATTTGTACATATTGATCAGATCCCCYCTCAGCCTTCTCTTCTCCAGGCTAAACAAGCCTGACTTGCTTGGTCTTTCTTCATATGATAAATGCTCCCGTCCCTTAAACCTCTTTATTACTCTCCGCTGGACCCTCTCCAGGATTTCCACAAGTTCCTGGCCTACATGGTTGGACATACCCGTCTTTTTGAGCACATCAGCAATTTGAATATTGTTTCRTTTCCACATGGCACTCGGGTCCCTTTCTGTCATTTGAGCTGCAACTTGACAGATCTTTGTGGGCTTCAGTGACAAGAGCTTTGTGGTGCTTTTCCTCCCTTTACCTGTACCACATAGGCGTATTGAACCCTCGTCTTTGTAAGAAGCAGTTTATTTCAGAACATTTTTATGTCATGGCAGGTTTATTTTTGATGTATTTAAGAGACTTGGAGTAGTTTGTATGTTTTCGGTTTTTGGGGAAGGAGCATGAGGTGGTTGTGATTAGAACTGTTTTATTTGAGCTTGTCCACATCAGCCTGTGGTGCAGTGTAGCTGTGGTGTCCTGCAGTGCTCCGGCTGTCCTAGACCTGGGTCCGTGTCCTCCCTGGCCCCGAGCAGCCTTCCCCCAGGCACCTTCCTTGGGGTTGCTTTGCCTGTGGTTGGTAACTGAAGGTGTTAGCAAGGGAGCATGAGAAATGAGTCTAACTAGGGACAGTTGACTGATCCGCTGGTCTCTCAGCAGATCCAAGTGATCCGTGCTGTGGAGGTTTTGCTATTTTGGGTGCATTTTTCACAGGAGTGTGAACAGGAGGCTCCTGCTTCGCAGGGCAATGGAGGGCTGTTGGCGTGAGGCGGCCGCTCCGGGGCTCTGCGTCTCGGCCGGGGCGCCAGGTTGGCCCCGCACACCGACCGCCCGGGCTGCTTGCGTTCAGTCGTCTTCGCAGCCAGGCGAGATAAGCTTTTCAGTGRCTCCCCTAGATAGCAGCCTAGGTGCCTCTACCTGCTCCATAAAAGACAAAACTGGATGTTGCTCTGCATTCTCCTCACAGCCCTGCTTTTGCGATCGCAGCGACTTGGTGTTTATCTCTGTCTCGTTCTGTGTTAACTTGCATAAGAAGTTTTGAAAAGTTCTGTGATGATTCTGAATTGGAATGAGAGTCTAAAAGAAAAAAATGGAAAGGGGTTAGTTGTTCAGCTGCAAACTGAAGCTAATTGGTGTTTCAGATTTTTTTTTTCTTTTTTTGTAGTGTCAGATGTGAAGTAAGTCTGATTCAGTCCAATATATTCCCTTGATTTGGTTAGCTTGACTATCCAAAGAAGTAAGACTGTCAGTGTTGRATGAATGTGAGCACAGTGTGTGCAGACTGCCTGAACTAAACGTGCAGAGTAACTGGTATCTGACAGGTAAAGCAGATAGATACGTAGAGAAAGGCAGAAGTTGTGAAAACCTTAAGTTTCTGGATGGATAAAGAAATGGAATAGAGCTTCCTTTTGTGAAAGCCATAGCTCAGAAAGCTCTGGAGTAACCCTGTGAATTGCGATGCCTCTGGAGATGGTGTCTCATTTTTTGGTTCTTTGCAAGGTGCATCCCTCAAAGCCATTGGCTGTAACTGCCCCTTGGTTCCTGCTGCGGGACGCGCGTCGTCTGGKAACCTCGGGGTGAGTGGCATTTAGGAGCCCCTGGTCCTCTTCCTTCCAAAAAGTAAGCGTGGACAACAGCACACARTGGTTTTTAAATTGATTTTTTTTGTTACTGTGTGTTTTAATTTCCTGGATTCGTTGCTCTCCACACCTTTTACCAGAGTAGCGTCCTGTGCGCTGACCTCCTGGTGAAACCAGGCAAGCAGAGCGCGTGGGATACAGCGACATTGTCGAGAAATGGTTGTGTCTGTGTTGCCAGTCTGGCTCGAGGCTCGCTGCAATCGGTGCTGCTGATGAGAATCTTAAAGCCAGTGTGACTGAGCAACAAGGTATTCCAATTTTTTTTTCCTCCTCGTGAATTATCATARAGTGGGGGAATCATATCACACGTTCTTTAAAATAGTTCTTTGCCCTTTTTGTAATTGAAATTACACCTCATCCTTCTTAAAGATACACATATGTAATCTTGAGGATAAGGGGGAAATACTTATTTGTCTTAGGATATATAGTGAAAACCAAAATGCTCTAAAACTCTGGAAAAACTCAAAAATGTGYTATGTATAATTGGTATATTGTTGCTTTTTTTAGACTGCTGGGTTAGAAAAGTCAAAGGGAGTGAATACTGCTGCCTCCTCCTRAAATCTGCTAATTACTTCAGTTCAGCAAAGAATGTGTGGTGGATAGTTATCATGCATGTGCAAAAGAGAATAATGTCAGTCTTTGAGTCTGAGGAGAAACAGCTGATGTGAAGAGCCATCACTGGAGGTCCCTGCTGCCCAGGCACTACAGGATGAAAAGACAGCGTGATTATTTTTGGCAGCGGTTTATGGAGGCCTCGTACTGTGTAATATTGAGTTGTATGACCTGCATATGTCTTCAGGCTTTGAGATTTTTGCTACATCTATTACTTGAAGAATGTAGTATTAGCTCGTGCTTAGAAGTAGAAGAGGATTAGCTGCCAGGCAGGAAATACTGCAGGGAAACCTTGTCAGAATAGCATTTCCTCTGCGTCCTGAGAAACATTCCTATTTTCCCTAAATGCTTGCAGAGGAGGCCACTCTATTGATTTCAGATTTAAATGTGATTTTTTTTTTTTTTTAAATACAGCAAAGATATGTATCAATAGAGCAAGGAACTGCAAAGGCAGTGTGGGAATGGGATGCAAACACTCTATTGGAGTGGGATCAGGATCTTCCCTGCCTATGGRACATGTATCTGGGCAAGGTGGCTGTTCTGTTTGTTTTGGAGTTCAGTGCCAGAGCACCTCAGGAACAAGTGCAGGGTCCTGCACCTGGGGAGGAATAACCCCGGGCACCAGTACAGATTAGGGGTCGACCTGCTGGAGAGCAGCTCTGCTGAGAGGGGACCTGCAAGTCCTGGTTGACACCAAGTTAACCATGAGGCAGCAGTGTGCCCTCGTGGCCAAGAAGGCCAATGGGATCCTGGCTGCATCAGGAGGAGTGTTGCCAGCAGGTCAAGGGAGGGGATCCTGCCCCTCTGCTCAGCTCTGGTGAGGCCGCACCTGGAGTACTGGGGGCAGTTCTGGGCTCCCCAGTATAAGAGGGACGTGGAGCTACTGGAGAGACTCCAGCGGAGAGCAACAAAGGTGATTAAGGGACTGGAACATCTCTCGTACAAGGAAGACTGAGTTGGGCTTGTTTAGCCTGGAGAAGAGAAGGTTGACAGAGGATCTGATTAATATGTACCTGAAGGGTAAATGTTAACATGAAACCATTTGTGTACATCCCTTGGGTGCTTCCCTAGAGCAAACCTGGTTTTAGAGCCATGTGAAATACTGGGTTGACAAATAGTTAGATGGATAACAAAAATAAATGCAAGTTTGTGGTCTAAGAGTGCAAAAAATGTTGCATCTTCAAGTTAACCTGTAGCGTGAGGAAAATCAGTCGTTGTCCATGTAACTTACTATTGATGAGGCTTAGTCCTCTCATCGGGGTTTGTTTTTTAGAAAATGCCTTCATTTCATGCCTTTCAGCCCCCTTACAATATTGCAGCACGTCAGGTCTATTTATTCTGTCTCACAAAGGAGAGGTAATTCAGTATGGATGTTTCCATGGATAGTTCTGGGAATGCTAATGTGGTAGCTGTAAAGAAAACATGCCTAGTCAAACTGTATATTTTTTCCCACCTCCTATCAGTTTGCATTAAACTTGAGTATCAGTCTATATTTAAAAAGAAAAAGAAAAGTGATTTGTGCTTGTACACATGAAGTGTGTGGGTTAAGGGGATATTAGGAATAAGGTTAGAAGAATTGTTGGCCTTTTTGGTTTTCAGTTGCTTATACGCATACAGAATCAGCATGTGGACTTTTCCTTTCCTCCCACTGACCCTCTTGGAAGTTGCTTTCACTCGGCTGGCATCAGACAGTCATACTCCAGGTGTTTCCTTACCACAATTGGAGATGACTTCTCAAAGTTGATTTCTGCTAGAAGCTATGGAAAATACAGTGTGTAGGCTCATAATTCTCTTTTGCTCTCTTCATTTCCCCACATTTACATTTAAAAAATGCACATATATCCTTCTGACTAATCAAAATTGGTTAGATTCACCAAGACTGTGTGAAAGGAATTTGTCTCCCACAAGTTTTTTTCACTTGCTGAATATTCTATTTTTGCACAGGTCACTGAGATGACTTAAGTACCACTTTATGCCAAACAGAAACTGGAATAAAATCAGTTTAAAACTCCAAAGTGATTTTTTTCTTTCTGAGCTTAGCAAACATCATGTTATCTAGCATGAAATGTGAAAAAAGTACAAATTATAAAAGAATCTAACCTATTTCTTGGTTGAGGGTGATAACGAAGCACTTGATCTGATTACAAACTCACGTGGCTTTTTGGCTCATAGAAGAGAAGGCAAGTGACAGCAGCCTGGTGTTATTGCCATGAAACTAACTGGGTTTGTGTAACTGGAGCATCAGCTCTGACCATACTGATGTGGCTTGGATCTTTTAATGAAGCCTTTAGGAGTATCGGTGGAAGATGGAAAGGGAGAATCCTCTTGCTGTTCTGTGTGGTCTTGTGCCACCGTACTGTTCGTAAGCTCTGGCACACATGAAGACGTGTAATAACTGTGTTAACTAATGGGTACGTGAGTGAAATTGTCAAATCATACTCTCAAACGTCACATCAATTGCCAGAGTAATTTTTTTTTCTTTTCTTTTTTAAAAAGGAGGTATTTGCTGTACTCTCTCTATATTGGTGGTTTAATCAGATAGTTAAAAGCTTGGAACTATAAAGATAGAAGAAAAGGCTGTTGCATGTCTACCAGTGACCAAAGAAATCCATCCATTGATTTTTGCTTGGGGAGGGAATCAAACTGAGGAGAAGTGGCTTGTTAAGAGCATATTTTCTTCTTTCAGTCTTTCATTTATTTTTGTGTTTCTTTGGTATCGCTGTAATTTCATCTTGTTATTCCATTTTTAGGTTGCCTGAAGCTCAGCAGAGGGTTGGAGGCTGTTTTCTAAATTTGATGCCACAAATGAAAAGCTTATACCTTGCATACTGTGCCAACCATCCATCAGCAGTAAATGTTCTCACAGAGCACAGGTATGTTTACTTCATAGTCTTTTAAATSAGGACAAGGAAAGTGCATAAAATACATTTGTGCTATAAAGCTCTGTTGTCCAGATTTTAAAGCTCTTCCAGGGAGTCAGGACCAGCTTGTCGCTTTTAGCAGTGTGTTACCAACTATTTGAGAGGGTTTTCTTATTTAAAGTATGAATGTTGGACTCTGAACATGTAAAACAAACTATAGCAATTATCATTTTAAGATACTGAAGATTCTTCAGTTTAAGAACATGAAGATTTAAAAAAAAAAAAAAAACCAACCTTGTATATCAAACCGGCATTTGAAGCTAATTTAATTTTAATTATTAGCAGCCTCTTCATGCAGTTGGTTAGTTATAACTTAATACCATAAAATCCAGTAAATTTGTACCTATAATCTTTATATTGGTGTATAGTATACCCTTAGTTTTCCTTTTCTGAGGACTGAGAATGTAGGACGAGCTCTTTAAGTCTGCAAAGGTGGTATTTCCTGTGTGTTAGAAGTAAGCTAATGTGACAGAGTTTCCTCAGCTTCGAGACTGACCTTAAATATGTATAAAAGTTGCACACGCCATGTATCAGAGAGAGGAATGCTGAGGACAGGAATTGATGAATAGAGGACTGTTTTCAGGCAACTTCCTCGTATCACCCCCTGACGGGCACGTGCTGCAGCAGCTGCTGCAGGGCGCACGGCGCATCTTTGCTCGCGGGCCAGGGCAGAACCAGCCCTTCTCGGGAGCAATTGGCAGGACGTGTTTGCAGAGGGTGTCCGTCCCTTCCACTTTCCCTGCCTCTCATTTCTTTTGTCTTGCTGTGAAGAACCAAAATATAGAAGTATCCTTCAGTCTTGCTAAGCAAAGAAGAGTGTAATTGGCTTGTTTTCTATGTAGAATTAACTTCCAAGAATTTGCATCTTAAATTAATGGTGACCTTGTGCAGCCTGATTGCTACTCTTTTTCATAAAAGTTTAAACTCAAAAGCTAGATATCCACTACTATAAGCTATCACTTTTTGTTAAGAAGAGATCTGCTCCCTCACACATTTGAAATATTAAGCTGGCGATATTGCCAGCTGTGGCAAGTCAGACAGGAATAAGATGCTCTTYGTCAGAGGCAATAAAGAAAGAAAATTAAACAAGGCAAAATATGTTTAAAACTCCCTAATGAAATCTGTTTTCCTTCTAATGACCTACTTCAAATAGCACTCCCTGGAAGTGGTGAAATATTTGGGTCATCCAAGGCTGTGTGTGCTGTTGTTGATGTTTTTGTTTTAGATAAAATCTCAGACTGAGAGTTTTTTTTCTGTTTGTGCCTTTACGCTTTTCTTATACAATGATCTATACTAGATCTAGATCTAGTGGGATCTAATCAATAAATGGGARATAGGAGGTGATAGAAAAGTAAGCATGTATATTTCTGAAAAATTAGAGATACTTATAAAGCAATACCCTGTGTTTTCTCTTGGAAGATGATGGAAACAGCCTTGTCTCCAAAATGATTAAATACAGGAATCTTGAAGTTGGTTCAAAGCAATTTTATTGTTCATAAGAGGCAGAGCAGAGAGACATGAGTTCTCAAGAAATTTAATGCATTTTGTTGGGATGCGTAGGTCAGCAAAAGTGCATTTTTTTTAAATTGCCCTTATTTTGATATTTTAAAGCTTTCGTTTTTGTTTAACACCATTGCAGTACATAGCAAGTGACTTGATGATARATTTTGCTTGTAAAGGCAACCATGAAGGCATTAGAGTTGTCTTTAAACAAATCTGAAACTTTCTTTTTTCATAGAATGCCAGAAACTTTTCAAATGTGTGTCTAAAGGTTGAGGGAATAACAAACTGATTGAAAGCACAAAGGAAAAAACGTAAATGTCCCCTGCCTCCAAAAAAACAACTTTCATAAACTGTTATGTTAAATTACTGTGAGGTTCGAGGATAGCTTTAATAGTAATGAAACAATATTGGAGTTAAAATTCAATTAATATTGAACAGGAATTTTTCAGAGCTTTTAAATTCAAAGATTTAAGATTTTTAAGAAAGGGTCGTGATTTGTTTGCTGCTCTTGTGGTATGATTTTAACAGAGAGACCAAAGCATTGCATCTGTTTCAAAGCTTACAAAAATACAACAGAGAAATAAATATGTTTGCCACAATTTTCAGTTTGAGTAGCACACTCAGAACAGTTACACTGATTCAATAGTATTTTAGATAAGAAGAGTCTATAGTGATTTTAATTGGAGCATAAGAAATTCTTACTGTCAACATCTTAGGTTATTTCTTGCCAGCTAAGCTGGATGTACATCATAGATGGAACATGTTTGTATCAAGTATGCTGGGGAAATGCTTGCTATAGGAGACCTAGTATGTGACAGAAAGCCAACTTCTGATATCACAAAATTAGTTTTCCCAGATACTTGTTAAATTCACTTGATTTTCATGGGGAATATATCTATAATAGCAAACAAAACATCTGGATAATTGCTTTAGACTTCAGAAATTTTTTACCTCACTTTTTTTTTTTTTTTTTTTTTTTTTTTTTCAGTTCTGTAATACACTGATTTTATTAGTACATTTTTCTTGCTCTGGGATGAGAAGAAATGAAAGGTCATAGGCTGCCATTTTAAAGCATTAGTTACGTGATTAATTGCTTGGGATGCGGCACCATCAAAAAAATTATAAACCTGCATGTGGCTAATGGAATATTGTATGTGTGAGTTTTTACTATGTTAGTTTCTCAACTATTGTATGCGTACTTTGAGTAGTGTTCTAAAATCTGTGTTGTTAAAATGTCATTTTATTTATGCACGCACTGTTGGTGTTAATTATTTTTTTGGAATTCTACTTAAAAGTTTAATATTTTTCTGGAAAGGTTTTTCAAGTATCAGTTCTAAGTAGTAGCTCTTAGGCCAAGGCTGGAGACTTAGCAGGGGCATTTGGTGGGAACGCGACTGTCTTTTCATGCTGTTCAGTATGAATTTCAGTCTGATCTGCTTCCTGTTCCTCCTCCTCCTCGCAGTTTGCTTCATGATTGTACATAACTGCACCATGAGAAGTCTTAGTTATAAGGTGTATGTTTATGTAGTGAATGAGCAGGGGGTTAGCTTTTGTTTTTGTTGGTGAATGAGAGGTCTTTCATGCTTGGATCTGCAAAGCCACAAATATTTTTCATTTCCTTAAGTTAAAGAGGTAATGAAAATAAACCACTGAAATGAATACCAATGAAGAGACCTTAAATGTAGGTAAATAGGCAGACATRGGAATAAAGCCTAATCCAGCCCTGAAGGGAATTTCAGTGCCAGACAAATGTTTCGARGCTGGTGTTGGCCTTTGACAAGAACAAGAAAAATCTGCTTCATGCCTTCTGTTAAGTTTGTGGCGAATCCTCTTGCTTAGTTCCAGTTGGGGCACTGTAACTTTTATCAGAGTTGCTGCTCAGCATCACTTCTCCAGTGTTATGAAGTCTTGAAGGTGACTWCTTCTTTTTCGGGAGGTGCTTAAGAGCGGTTGTATAATTTTGATATTCTGTTCTTATATTCTGTGCTGTTGGTTCTGTTTTTTAACTTGTGGCCACCTTTGCTGCTTCCCTTGTATGGTCTGACATTGACCCCCTGACACTTGAACCGTAGTTTTCATTTGTATGTGTACCAGGTCCCGCTGACTCTTCTTACGGACGTGTTTTGGGGACCTGTCACCTTGGTTTGAAGGCATCTGGCGTGGTGCTTGATGGTGTCTTCAGCCACTGATGCCAGCTTAGCAGAGGAGCTTGGCAGGGATGGCCTCCTGTGATGCCTCCTGCCAAGGTCCACGTGTGTTTCCACCGCTGGCTCTCGGCTTCTTCTCCTGGTTCCCATCTGTTAATGGTGACCGTGATGCCGATGTGTGTGCCTGCTCCCTATTTTGTTTATTCAATAATAATTATGTCTATTTGTCTTCTTTAGAAGATTATTTTCAATACCCTGTGATTTTCCTTGAAACTCAAGGGTTGTTGAGGACCATTTTTACTGTGGCCTTCTTGGAGAGAGCTTTGCTAACTGGTCACAGCACTATGGGCCCAGCAGCACGATGTCTATTCAGGGTAGCATGGGTGCCCCGTGTGCTTCTGTCGCAGAAATCAGCTTGTTGGCTTGTAAGAGAAGCGGCAGGGTAAGCAAGGGAGAAAGCAGAAGAAAGAATTTTCCTCAACAAATAAATAAATGGGCAGTTGGGTTATTTGTTTCTACCAAAATGGGTAGTTGCAGAGGAGGCAGGAGTGCGAGCCCCATGGGGTTCAGGTGCCCCATGGGGTGCCAGGCACCTGCGCAAGATGGCAGGCCCCAAAGCTTGTTGCAAGGGGGGAAGCTCCCGCAATGGGAACGGGACGGAGGAGGCCAAGGCAGGGCCTGCACCCAGGCTGTGTCCAGAGCCGCAAGGGAAAGGGCTTTTCGGCRTCAAGCAGAAGAGCGGATCTCACAGTTAAAGAAGGCAGAGCCTGCAGGGCCCGGCCTCTGGGTGCCRTGGGGCCGAGCTGTGCTCCCCACGCGCTGAACCGCGCTCTCCTCGGGCCCCTCAGCGGCGACGGCGCCCGCAGCCCCCTCTGTTACCCACAGAGAGCTCCCTCCGAGGCCCAGGTTGCGACGCAGGCGGGTTTGCCGGCCTGGCTGCCTGGGTCGTTTCCTCCCCTCGGGTTTAAATGGCGCTTCCCCGCTCGTGGTACTGTAGGCGCAGCTGAACTGGTTCCCTCTGTGCCCCAGTCTGAGCTGCAGCTTTGTGGCAGTTCTGGAGCTGCGCTAAGGGAGAGGTGCTGGTGTTAAYCAGGTCTAAGGACGCTTTTCCTAGCGACTTGTAAAATAATCTCTTGTTAACTTTAGTTTGGAGGGACAACTCTTGAGCTAGAGATTTTGGGAAAAGTGAAGCAGAGCCCTTTTGTGTTTCTGGCTTTTTAAAAATATATATATATATAATTTTTATTGTACTGTAAAATACCTCAAGCGATGAATTGAAATCAGTCCTTGCCGCTTCCCCCTGAAGCAGGTACTCGTGTTTGGCAGTTGTGACTAAGCTGATGATTAAGCCCTTAAAAAGATTTTCTTGTTCAGCCAAATGATACCACCTTTTTCATATGTGGTAGCCATGGGCCAGGATGCTGCTTAGCAGATACTGAATAGCGGAGGGCAGCACTTGGGCACTTCACTGAAACAACTATTGTCTTCCCCAACACAGCAGTGCTCTTAACAGCTACCATCGCTGAGCTTTGAGCTACTGTTAAATAAAACGCAGTTGGGAACTGTTATTATTTTCTGAACTGTTTATCCCCACTTTCATTGAAAGTAAATCTTTCTGTTTCAGTTCTGTATTTGTCTATTGTGAATATTTGAAGGACATTCACTTTCAGACTTGAGTTTCAACAAGTTTATTTATAGTGATAAAGCTTCAGAGGTAGCAGGTTATATTGGCAGACTGGTAGCAGAGTTTGCACAGTTAAACCACTTATATTTTTTTTTGATCCTGTTATATTGAAAGAATATAACTACACAGCAACACACACCAATTGTAGCATTTGAATGAGCTAGCGTGTCAGGACTTGCAAAAGCAATGTATAGAAGTGTATGAGAGAAGACATTGCCCTCTTAGGAATGTTGGGAGGAAAATRGTGTAATTCGGTTTAATTGCGTCTATTAATGCTGCTCTGTTTAAAAGGCTTCCCAATGACGTTGGTGTTCAGTGTGTTTCTCAGGGCTTTGCACACATTTCAAGGGAGGTTTAAACTTGCTCTGCGAGTTCTCATACTGTGATTAAGTAAAACTGATGCGATAAACAACGTTTCTTATGTTGAACAGCAGCTGTTACAAGTGCACAACCATAGAGTGTGTTTAATTAAAGAAAGGAATTGAAAAAAGTGGACACTGAAAGTAAGTTAGTACTGTGCTTTTATTTCAAGGCTCCAAGGAGACTGCACTGGCCTTTTTCCTGTCATCTGCCAAATGTGTTTTGCGATGCTGAAGTTAGGAATAAATGGAGCAGTGATATGAAAATCAGAATGTGAACGTGGGTGGAATGGATTAGGTAGCCACAATGATCCTCTTGCTGTAGAGACGTTAAAAAAAAAATCAGAAAAAGAGAAAAGCATTGTGCTAGTGGGTAGCCTCACAAATGCCGYGTTTCTGTAAAGCATTTGTGTTCACTCGGCGGCACGAAGAAGGCTGAAGTAATTAGGAAGGAGGATTGTATTTTTTTTAATCTTTGCAATTTAAGAGCAGCAGTTGGTGTTGTAGAGCAGTGTTAAATGGCAGGGCCCSGTGGTGGTTTCGGTGGAAGGGGAACAGAAAATGTGCAAGGAAGCAGCTTAACCAGCCAGGCAGCAAGGGAGTATGTGCATGAAGCAAACAAAAGGCAAGGGATGGGTTTAAGTGTTTGTTTCCTGTTAGTTCTCACAGCAAATGTCCACCACTTAAAACAAAAMCAAAAAGAACAACAAAAAAGAAAATGAACAAGTTTATCAAGTTATCAACTACCATCTGCTCTCACTGTGCTGGCCTGGGCATGGGGTGAGTGCAGGTAGAATTAATGGGTAAAACCAAACAGGAGAAGACCAGTGTTAGATAATTAGTGAACTGAAATGTAAAACCATGGAGTTGCAGTAGACAGAAAGCCTTCCCCATGCAGGCTTTGGTAAAGCTCCCCGTAGAAACATAGAAATTGGGCATCTGACCCCCCAGCTTTCCCCTTTTCCCCCTGCTGACACAGCAGCCCCCCTACAGCTGAGTCACTGGAGGGGATGTGTGACGCCCCCCCCAGCCATCCCACCCAAGCTCCCAGGGAGTTAGCCTAAGTCTGCCATGAACAAGTAGCTGCTAATACTGCAAACCAGGGTAAATGAGTCAAAATCTCTTTATTTATTTATTTATTTATTTATTTTCTTGAAGAGGCTTAAGGTAAAAGTAACTCTTGAGCATCAGGATATGCAGAGTTGGGCAGCCTTGTTTCTAAATTAAACATTTAAATCCAACTCTAAAATTTAATTAAATAATTTAAATTCAAATCTAAATTGACTGACTAGTTTTATCTGTGTTACGTTGCTGTGAGTTTCCATGCAATTTAAGGCAAGAGGTCTACCATGCGTTTTAGTTAATGTTGACTAAAACCTGGTCTTGCCTTGAGCTGATTGTGGAAAAGCTGGAAGTTACTGATATATCCCTTGGGAAAGGGATTGGGAAAGACTGAGTTGTGGGCATTCCTGAAGTGTACTGAGCTGCTCTCCTTGGGTCTATAAAATGCAGGGCAGCTGTTGGGCAACTCTTTCATCTGCTTCCTCAGTTTTGCAGCTCCAAACAGCAGACGTGGCATAAACAGATGCACTGCAAAGGGCCTGGGCCTKCTTCGAAGGGCTGTGAAGTGCTCTGAAATGGAGGTTGCCTAAAGTCGTGCTGTGCAATTGGAAGCTGCTTGTCCTTGAACAAGGCAGTATAAATAAATAKGAGATGACGGATGTGAAGGCTCTGAAAGCTTGCAATAACTGCATAGGGAAGCTCACTTTTCTGTGAATTTGGGGTAGCTGGYGTTTTTAACAGCCAGGAGGAGAGAGATGTGGGTGGATAGTGTGCAATGCACTTGCTTAAATGTACACTTGTTTCATACTCTTGTTCTTCTCATCCATTAAATGTATGTCACTAATCAGCTGCCGGTTGTCTGCTCTTATCCATTCTGGAAAGGGCAGGGCTGTGGAGAAGCTGGGAAAAGAGGGAGGGCTCTTTTGCCTTTAATGCTTTTCTGTAGCATGCCTCCCTATGGTATTTAAGTGTATGTGTTTTGGTCTATTACAGCAGTGTCCTAGCAGTGMTTTGTTTTCTACAGGAATTGATGGGATCAGTTTGCTTCCACCTCTGGATGATTTCACCCTGCTGTAAACTTGGAGATATTTATTATTTCCAGCTTTGTTACCTAGGCTGAAATAAAAAGCAAGTTTCTCTAGTGGCCCTTCTTTATATTGAAGTAATTGGTTGTAAATGTGTCTGTAACACACAAGTGTTCGTTCTCTGTTGTCTGGCGTTTAACTCTGTATTCTTAAAATTAGGAATCTGGYAGCTGGCTGAGACTCCCACCAAAAAATGAGCTTATGCCCATATCTAGCGGGGAGGAATGTGTCTAGGTAGTAATTCTAACCTGTGAGGCCCTCTCGCTGCCAATCAGCTGCAAGAGAAGACCTTCCAAAAACACATTAATGTGAAATTTAGATGAGTGTCACAGGAGAATTGCTTTCCTCTGAGAATTAGTGAATTTACTGTGAAAAACGGCTTACTAAACATGAGTGATGCCCTCTGCAGGTGTCCAGAATTGCATGACTTGGATGCAAAAATATCATCTGTATCTTTTTYATAAGTAGCTTTTAATAAGTAAAGGTCGTGAGACCTGAAGTTTGTGAACTTCTTAAACCATCTTTGCTGTCAAAACTAGTGTGTTGGGTAACTTTACCCTCGTTGAAGCCATAACTCATACGAGACTAGCCTTTATGTTAGTTATTTTTGCCACGCGCTAGCGTTTGTGTGGCTGTTGGTTAGCTGACCACATTGCAGTCAAACCTTGTTTTCACAGCAGTGCCTCCTTCCTCACAATAGCAACACTTGGTAACCTGTGATTACACATAGAGTCGTTGCCTAGTTGGTGCTTGGGCATTAGTTATGTGAATTCCAGTTAGTGAGATGTCACTGAATAAAAGAATGAGTAATATACTCAGTTTAAGTTACTTTTTTTCCTGTAGTCTGTTTGCATGAAGTAGCATTTAGGAGCTCTCTCTGAGCTTCCATTGCTCAAATGCTGGATTTGAGCCCATGTTCTTCGTCCCGTTGGTTTAATGATGAACCCAAATCTGCAAATGTTTTCTTCCACTTTATGTAATGTAGAATTAGATATCAGCACTTAGATTAAAAATGTAGTTCTAATATACCTTGTTTGACCTCTTGGGCTTTTTTTTGGCAAAGTTATTTGCAGATGAAAGAGTAGAGTAATAAATTTAATGTAACATTAACTGCCTTGGTGATTTGGTCTTAATCTGTCTATCTGTCTTGTGTGTGCAGTGAGGAACTAGGAGAATTCATGGAGCTGAAAGGTGCCAACAGCCCGGGGATCCTTGTCTTGACCACAGGCCTCAGCAAACCTTTCATGCGTCTGGATAAATACCCCACGTTACTCAAAGAACTTGAAAGGCACATGGAGGTATATCTTATCAGCATTTATGTTCCAGCTTAATGATGATTTGACAACAATTATTTTAAAGGTACATGTCAAACATGATGGGACCCCAAATAAAATTTGTTTGCTCTTCCTTCAGCCTTCTAAAACATGAGCGCTAGTAGTTTGAAATCAGTGCAGTAAAACTTGCACCACGACCTAACTGTTTGCAGGAAAAATGGCCAGACAAATGGTCAGTCTTGCCTGGTTTTTGGTTGACTTGATGTTGACTTTGTCTCCTGCAAACTACTCAAGGCTACTTTATCCTGTAGAAAAAATGCTGCTTCTCGTCTTAACAATTCAACCTGTTGGACACATCACCGAGRTAGTCCCCTCGACTTCTGCTGAGCACTGTCCCAAAATGATGGTTCTAATGTGGGAAGGTGTTTGAGGAACTGCTTCTGCGTTTGCATTTTGTAGGTTGGACTTTTGGGATGTGTTGGAGGAAGAGAAACAAACAGCATGTGGGTTGTTGCCTTGTCGCACGCTGTGGTTTCGGTCAGTCAGTGACAGCATGTCATCTTAGTCCACAAGGAATACAGGTTGTGACAAAGACAGTAACATGACAAATTGGAAAGCAGTCTTCAACCTACTAGACCTTGCAAAATTTCCTTGGCTCCCTCTTAAATATAAGTAGAAATTTTGTAACTGACTCTTCATTTTTACCTCAAACAACACCTCTGGGCTTTAATATTAAAATAGGAAGCCTGTGAAAAGGGAGCTATTAGGTCTTCAAACTTTTTTTTTTTTTAATTTTCCTCACCTTCAGGATTGTTTGTTTGCAGTAGTTAAGCCTCTACAGAGATTTGTTGTGTTTACTAATACTAAAACTATTATTATATTTTTCCCATTGTTTTTAGGATTATCATCCGGATCGGACAGATATACAAAAATCCATGACTGCCTTCAAAAATCTTTCTGTAAGAGTGATGAAAAATAGATACATAATTTAAGGAGAATGTTTCTTTAAAAAAAAAAAAAAAAAAAATTTAACCTCTCTCTCAAAAAAAAAAAGTAAAGTTCTTCAAATATTTTTGTCTAAGACATTTTTATGGGAGAAAAATTTGAAAGGCAGGAAACGTGTGGGTAGAGCTAAGAATGGCAACTTTTGGGGAAGTTACAGAAATACTGGTCAGTATAACAGAGCTACACGTGCATTCCTCCCCTCTTGCTCATCCCCACTCTATACCAGTGCTAGTATAACTACGAACTTGGAGAAGGGTTTCTTTACAACACTAAGTATATTTTTCTGAGTTTTTCTTCTAGATTGTGTTGGAGTTAGGGGATGTAGGAGGAAAGGGAAGGTGCTAATAAAACATAGAAGATGTGGAACTCTCGGTGATAATCAGGAGAGACAAGTCTGATTTAAGCAGATGAGCTATCTGCTAAGAGATGCGACTAAGTAGCTTACATTTAACCAATCTCAGTTTTAAAATGCTTGAAGTTCCAAGAAGTGGGGGCTGCTGGGAGCCTAATAGCTTTGATTAGTTTAAGCACAAATTTGCTGTTACCTGTGTTCCAGAGAAGCTTTGGGGATCCCATTCTGTTGGGTGGCCAACAAATATGAATAAGTAGGTCTTGTTCTAAAGAATTCTGGTAAATTAAATGAGTGTATAACTGGTAAATATATCAAAAAAGCAGATGCCCGGGGCTATATACATGTACTGTTTGCACAGTTGATGCAACTCTTCTTACTAGATAGTTTATAGTCATGAATATACAGGACAGCTATATTACTAATTTTTGGTTAGGCTGATTTTTGATTACACTAATTTTTGGTTAGTAATGCACTGCTGGCTTAGAATTCATAGAAAAGTAATTGAGAAACATGCCCGTCATTGTGAGTTAGGTAATTAAGGTCAGTGTGTTGATGAAAAGAAAAATTATAATACTGAAACAAAACCGATTTTATAAGAAAACACTACTAATAATCATCTAAATGAAATGCTTTACAWACTGTCTTTTATGTAGTACAAGCAAAACAGGAAATACAAGTGTAGTGCTATTCAGAGCTGTGCTCTGCTGGAAATGAGTTGAATTGATAGAGTTGCTGTTTCTCCCTGTGTCTACTAGGGACAATGTCAAGAAGTACGGAAACGGAAAGAGCTTGAGCTGCAAATACTGACCGAAGCCATCCGCTGTTGGGAGGGAGAGGACATTAAAACACTTGGCAATGTAATTTATATGTCCCAAGTCATGATTCAGTGTGCTGGAAGTGAGGTAATGTAGTTTCGGTGTTCGTTGTGAGTCTCTTCTGTGATTAATAATAATCATTGTGTACAGAAGTCAACATAATGCTTCGGAGACACTAAATGCTACAGGTTGTCTATACTGATTTAAGACTTTTGCCATGGAAAAAAAAGAATTCCTCAAAGGTGGATGGTCTCAGCTGTAAAATTGCCTGAAACTTAGCCAGTATAGCAGCTAGAAACATTTTAAGGTGACTTTAAAGGACAGTTTCAGCCAGGAAAGAGTCTGGAAATGCWTAATACATAAAGAGGATCTTCTATGCATAGTTGTCTTACAGAATCATTTGGCAGAGCAATTATTACAAGATAAGTTTGAAAAACAAAAACTTCCAAATGTTTTACTGCACAGTGCCTGAGGCCCACTTCTTCTTCAGATTTGGTCACTTYACTCAATTTTAAAATAAATATTTTAAAATACAAGCTAGAGAAACTAATGGTTTTGGAGATYAGAATAAGAGGAAGCGTATGTATTTTGGAGACTGCCAATTAATTGTAGACTAGAAAAATTCTGCTATTCACTAGCAAGTAGAGAAGCATCTAATTCACAGCAGACATTGCCCCAGCTGGCATCAAAAGGAAAGTTGTCAGCCTCAGCAGAAAGACCAGAAGACTGGTCACAGGGTGTTGGGAGTGTCAGACACCAGAACTGGAGCAAAGCATGCAGTATTTTCGTTGTAAATATGATCATAGCTGCTTTATTCTATATTCCTTTTCCGATTAAAAGAATATCACCCCACATCATAATAGAATATGATCTCTCCAGTTTGAAACACGAGGCCTTGACGTTCTTAAATGTGTCCATCTAAATTGTATTAAGATATATCCAATATATATGTTTTTGTTTTAACTGAGATTGGTGAAAYACTTGCTATCAAATTAAATACAGACTGTATTTCCCCCAGATTGTAAAATTTCTAAATAAAAATATTAGGCTGTACTTTCAAGGCTGTGGTATGGGCAAGTGTTACTCAAGGTTGTAGTATGGGCAAGTGCTACTTACATTTTTCAACTAGCAAATAATCTATTTTTCTCTGTAGTGTTAATTTTGCCAATGACAAGTGTTTGTGGAGTAGCTGTGGAGTTACAACACTGGAGGTGGTTTTAATTTAAAACAAAAAAAGAGAGAAGAGGAGGAGGAGGCGGCTTGCGGTGTTGTAATGTTGTATTTACACTTTTTTTTTCTCCTTTTGATAAGGAAAAGAATGAGCGATACCTTCTTCTCTTTCCTAACATCTTGCTAATGTTGTCTGCCAGCCCGAGAATGAGTGGGTTCATATATCAGGTAGAGTTATATTTGTATGTATGTGTGTAACCACAGTGGGGGTGGTACTTTTTCTGCAAATGGTGATTCATAGTACRCTTGAAAAGAATTATTAAACTTCTGCATGTACAAAGAAGAAAGGTGATGTCTACATTAGGAACTAGTAATCTGGTTTACATAATACTGGGCTAAGAAGGTGAAGGCTAGATTCAGTTTTTGCAGCTGATGCACTGTGTGACTAAGAACAAGTTGTTTAATGTCCGTACTTGTTGGTAGTGGTTCATGAAAGGAAATACCAGTAGCTTTTTAGGGCTACATAGGAAAGAGGTGTTGCTGTCCAGGTCAGTGCTCTTCTGGCTGCTGCTTGAGCCTTACCAAAATGGCACAACGCTTGAGCTTGCATTGGGGCGAGTTAGCTGGCCCTGCCACCTAGTCCTGGATGTGTGCTGTTAGTGTCCTGTTTTCCAAGCAGGAGAGCATTTCTGAAATAAATCTCCTAGTTGTCCCTCTTTACTGTCCTTTGGGGTATGCTATAGAAGTGGTCTCAAAGCTGGTTGCTTCTTGAATGAAGCCGAACTGGAAGATGTGCTCCAGAAATGCACCTGATTTACTCCAGGTCAGTGGTTGGCACTCAGCCCATGGCAGCAGCCTGGAGTTAGGCTGGTGTGGAAGCACCTGAAATGCGCAGTGTGGCCTTCAGGTCACYAGCAGCAGGTGCTTCACTTTACAGATCCATTGTACCCTGCTGGTAGAGACGCTCTTTGAGCTCTCCAGAAGAAGCTCTGCTTTTCTCCAGTGAACACTTCCAGCCCGCTGTCCCCCCACAGAAACAGAGCAACCTTGCAGCAACGCAGCAGCATCAGTGCTCATTCCCTCTTATGTTCCCAAGTGTTTTTTTCCAACACTGAGAACTCCTTGCATTCTAGTGACTACGTTTTCACAGCAAGGCAAAATTCTTCCATCCCATTACTTCCTGGTGTTATGCCAGTGAGTCAGTGGCTCAGGGTTGACACAGGGCTGCACAGTTTGGATACCAGGTGCTTTCTGGATTTGTTCCARGAGAGGGTCCAGCAAAGAGCAACCAACATGATTAAGGGAGTGGGGCACCTATCGTATGAGGAAACACTGAGTTGAGCCTGTTTTCCCTGGAGAAGAGAAGGTTAAGAGGGGATCTGAACAASAAGCTCTACTCAGCGTTGGCAGTGACAGGACAAGGGCCAATGAGTACAAGTTGAAACACAGGCAGTTCCATCTCCATGTGAGGAGGAACTTCTTTCCTGTGAGGATGCCAGAGCCCTGGCACAGGCTGCCCAGGGAGGTTGTGGAACCTCCTTCTCTGGAGGTCTCCAAACCCACCTGGATGCCGCCCTGTGCCCGTGCTCTGGGTGTCTAGTGACTACGTTCTAGTGACTACTGTAGTTGGACTACACGATCTCCAGAGGCCCCTTCCAGCCTCAACCATTCTGGGATTCTGAGAGTTCCTCATCTCAGACCTGGAAACAAGGGACTTTGGAAGTCAGAGATGTTTGATAACTTTGACTTCTTAAAGTCGGAGATGTTATCAAAAGTTGATCAAACCAAAGCTTCCATTAGGAGCTGTCTGTGTGGAATTGTAGTTATTTTGTGCCCATCAATGTGCTTCCATTCGTTGATGCACTGTATGTGTCTGCCCGTGCTTAGAGTTTTAAATGTTTATATCTTGTACCTGTAATGTTTTTGTATGTTTTGARTTTAGCTTGAGTGTTAACTGCTTTTCTAGGGAAAGCTGCCAATGACAGGAATGACTATCACAAAGTTAGAAGACACCGAGAATCATAAAAATGCATTTGAAATTGCAGGTAATGGCCATAAATATTTTTATTTACTGTTTAGTCCGGGTATGCTCTTTCAAATATCATACTATGCAGACTGAGCTTCACATGAAAGGGTTTTTTTAATTGTTTTATTAACACCTGTTTTARCAGATTAATTTGGCTTCTCATGGCACTCGTCCTCAAATTTCTTCATTTTAATAAACATATGGARTAGAAGTGAAGAATGCCAGTTCAGACTATGCTAGGCTCTGGAAAGTAGGGAATGCCAGGGATTGTGGAAGAGCTTTAATTGAGGGCTTTCTTCTAGAAATGGTCTTTTYCCTCCCTGAGACATCAGTGTCTGTGCTGGCCATGATTGCAGTTGTCCTTGCTTRGGGAATTTTCCGTCTGTTAGGTACTYGGTTTCMGCATATACTCCAATTCTGTGGTGGRTTTAAAGGGCTGCCAGCCCGTTAGCAAACCCCAAATCCTGGGAACATGTTCCGCAGAGCAGGATCCAGGCCATGGAACATGTAGCTTTGGTCAGCTCCTGGACAGAGTCCTGTCTCCAGGCAGGTTCCTTGGGGTGACTTGGGCTCTCTCAAGGCAGGGTCACACATCAGTGCTCTGGTACAGAGGGAAGCAGTTGCTGATGGCTCTTGTTCTTTCGAAATACGAGCTGTGAGGCTGACCTCAAATAACACCTGTGTAAACTCAACACGTATGTTAGCTGCAACAATAAAAGCAACTGAATTTAAGCTGCTTCCCAAGTGCCTTTCACCTCAGCTTTGAAATTAGATTCAAAATGACGTTATGGTGCTTTCTGAGGAAACATCTGTGAAATGCACTTTCCGTGTTTTGCAGCTGAAGGCTGAAGAACATGCTAGACTGTTTTGAGGAGTTTGAGACACCATGAAACTACTAGATTTTTCAGTTGGAGCTTAAGACAAACCTGTCTTCTATATATTTTTAAGTTATAAAGGGAGGGGAAAAAAAAAACAAAACAATGTGCGTAGGACATACGGCATGTAAAAGTAAGATGCTGTGGTACTAAAAATACAGGTTAAAACCTTTGTGTAGTATTTTGGAGATTTACCAGTTTTACAAATTGTGTGTTTTTATAAGCATATTAGACTGACTATGTCATTTTTCTGTAGTTTTTGACATCTTACGTCTTTTCTCACCTAGGAAATATGATTGAAAGGATACTAGTGTCTTGTAATAACCAACAGGATTTGCATGAATGGGTGGACCACCTGCAGAAGCAAACCAAAGTCACCACTGTTGGAAACCCCACCATTAAACCTCACTCTGTGCCMTCTCACACGGTAAGGAATGCCTTAAGGGCTGAGTGTACATTGTGTTATGAGCAGTGTACATTGTGTTATCCAGCAAATATACTGCTATGTGAAGCATTTTTAGCCGTTAGGAATAGTGATGTGAATGTTTTATGATCCCAGCTTGGGTCATAGGATCATTCTGTTGTTAATTGTATGAGATAAAAGAAATGTATATGTATTTTAATGTAATGGTTCAGCCTAGGAAGGGTATAATAAAATTCACTGTCAGTAAATTTAGTATTTTCGCTGAGGAGTGTATCTCATTTTTAAACCTCCTTAAAACAGTAGGTTTTRTTTGGTGCTGTACCTGACAGTCTGTGGAGAAATGGTTTCAGGTGCCTTCTTCCGGATTCTGGACCTGAGTTTTTCAGTCTGCATGGATCTAAATTCCGCTCCATCCTTGACGAGAGAAGCGGGAGCAAGGCTGCTTGTCACTCTTCTTCAATATATGCTCTTCCTGTGGCAGACACTAACAATTTCTTTAAGCTCCACTTTTCTGAATCATAAATCACCATTAAGGTTTCTGAAGGCCGGCTGTAGTAAACATAAATGCTAGCCAGCTGGTGGAATTATTTCATTGATCTTTGATATTTTATCTTCATTTTAGTAATTTGCTTTCTTTCCCTTCCTGTAACCGTTGTCTTTGGCAGCTTCCCTCCCATCCGGTAACACCCTCCAGCAAGCACTCGGACAGCAAGCCAATCCCCCTGACTCCTGCTTACCACACTCTCCCACATCCGTCCCATCACGGGACTCCGCATACCACGATAAACTGGGGACCTCTGGAGCCTCCTAAAACTCCCAAGCCCTGGAGTCTGAGCTGCTTGCGGCCTGCGCCTCCGTTACGGCCTTCAGCAGCTCTTTGTTATAAAGAGGTGAGATGCTGCAGCCAAGAAATGCTGCTGGGCAGCAGGCCGCCCGTGAGAAGTCCTAAGTGTCCTCTGCTCCTGCCATCGTGTACAGTTCTGTGTGTGTTTTTGTGTAGGAGGTGCATCAAGAGCTGCTCCTGGAAAGGACTAGGGATGCTGGTAATGGGCTAGTAAAAATCATAGGATCATTAGGGTTGGAAAAGACCTTCAAGATGATCGAGCCCAACCGTAAACCCGTCACCACCCTGCCTGCTAAACCACGTCCCTAAGTGCCTCTTCTGCACGTTTACTGCCAGGGAGTGTGGTGTTAAATGGTGGTGATGATGTTTGAGGCAGTGATTTAGTCTTGCAGCTCAGATAATAAGATGTGATAGAAGATGAGTTTTCTCCTCCCCTTCCCCTAGCCCCCATCTCCCTCTTCTGTTCTTTGATCAAATGGGAAAAAATATGTTTTATTTTTAATCTAAATTTGGTTAGTTCAGTGTTGCTGCTACTTTCTGTAGCTGTGCACACGAGGAAAACATACGATTTATGTAGGAATTGTGTGTGTACATGTATAGGTTGCTTACTCGTTTRCACATGCGCGCACGCACTCAGAGGAGGAGATTGGCACGACGGTATCTTCTCTTTCGGTGTCCTCCTGTCTGTCCCTCAGTCCCATGATTSTAATCCAGCACGGAGAGCAGGGCCCAGAAAGAGGCATTCAGATATGCCTGTGAACATTTCATTATGCAAACATGAGCTCTTGACAGACCAACGTTATTTAACAGTTTTGCAGTTTCTTAAAAAATGACTGGGAGGTGACTTATTTCTTAAAGTGGACTTTTTCCTTAAATAAATAAATAAATGGGGGCATAGTACAGCTTCTTGTTTGTGGTTTTGTAAATCCCCTGAAAAARTGATAGGTGGTCTCCAGTTGGAAGGTTAATATTTAGGCTAATTTGATACGAGAGATTCTCTTGCTCAGCTGTAATTTACACTCCCTGCCTCATCGTTAGTTAAGTTCATTTCATGCCTTTTTGTATATGGCACTAAACTCTCAAATGTAGTAAAATGTCACTCATCTTTACAGTRTTTAGCCTATGATGATGCTCAAAACTCATCTCCATCCTCTTTCGCCTGTGTCCTGCTCATTCACCTGTTCACTTTCTTGTTCTGTACTTTATTATAGAGGATGTCTTGCATCCTTAAGGTAAGGGATAGACCAGTATATTCCTGTGCATAAATGAACTTGACTAGTTTTTGAGCAGAAATACTTTATTTGTTGCTGCATTTTCGTTGCTGTAGGTCTGTTCTTACAAAGCTCTAAATAGGTATCCTCTCTGCCAGGCATCCTTGTTAGGTCCTTTTTTTAACTGCTTCTGAATAGACAAATCAAATGGACTGTCCCTTCAAAATTCAAGAAAAATACTGGGCTAATGTATGGCTGCCTTTGTTATTTGCTCTCGCTCCCAGACAGCCTGCGTGCCTTTGCAGCAGCTCTTCCATACATTTCTGCTAATAGGATCAGATAAATATGCAACTTAGTATGTATATAGTTAGAGATGGACTAGAGAGGAAATGAGCCAGTGCAGGCAGACCTGGTGGCCTAAAATATTAGTAGGTTGAATTTTGGTGCTGTTAATATGTATTCACCTAGTAAATACTGTATGTCTCTTAAAAGTTGAATTCTTGAAATGCTGTGAAGAAGCTCTACTCTCCTGTTTTTTATTCTCCTCCCCACAGGATCTCAGTAAAAGCCCTAAAACCATGAAAAAGCTGCTTCCCAAACGCAAGCCGGAGCGGAAGCCGTCAGATGAAGAATTTGCACTGAGAAAAAGTAAGAGAGACTGAGCAAATGTCTGCGTAGTTTATAGGCTGGGAATTAATGTCCGTTGAAACTCTGTGGAAGTTGGATGTCCAGTCTGAGCAAGTCACCTGGTCTCCTCTCTCCTGTCAGTGGAGAGAGGTAGGCACCTTCAGAGGGCAGTTTGTTTTGCTCATTTTAGGCACTTATCCGGATGGGATGAGTTAATTTCTAATTGAAAAAGTTTCAGAAGCCCTCCCAGTCTTTTGGGTTTTATTAGCAAGGTAGCAAGTATAACACTGATGACCTTAGTTTTTTTGGGAAACTTGTTCAGTTGCTAGCACCTCCGATCATAGTATTCCTCCTGCAAGGAAGTAACTATTTTTGATATTATCAGTCTTGGTGGGCCTCATATCCTCTCTTTGCACGTATCTGTGTGTGAACTAGTAATTTCAGGCACATTTGTAGTCAGTACAGAGAAACAGAAGCTTCTACAGCACGATTTATATCCAGAAGTAACAATTCAGCTAGGTCAGGTTCTGCGTGCCTGCGAGGTCCCTGTTTCTATCTGCTTACTGCAGAAGGAAGCAAGACTGACTACAGAGCCATTCAAAGCTCACTAATATCAAAACTACCTTTTAATACTGTAAACAGCAAGCTGGAGGTTAAAAACACTCTCCTRCTTTTATAGGGTATTTAATAGCTGTGTTCTTGAATTGATTCTGGTAGGAGCTTCCACTGAGCTGGGTTTTGGAAAGCTGAGTATAGCTGCTGGTTCAAAGACTAGTTGCTTCCAAGGTCAGTCTTTTTAGATCCAATAGCCGCTCTCCGTCCCTAGAAATAAGGCTGGCATCTCTGGCAGAAAAAGTTGCAGAGCTTTTGGCTGCCTCAAGTCTTAAAAACATTAAGCCAAGAGAAACTGATACAAGTACAAGAATATGTATATATGGGTCAAAATCTGTGTGTTGGGCAATTTGAGGCAGCGAGAGTGCTAACATTATCCAGCAAACACTATTTATTTCATTGCTGGTTTTGTTCCAAATCTGCCTTGTAAATCTGTGTGAGTGCATAATCCAGATACTTGTCAGTACAAGGTAGGGTGTTAAAAATAACTTCTTTTTTACAGTATTTGTGTCTGAAGGCTGTAGTCTTTTGCTGCAACTTTTGCCTCTACACGTCTGGCCTTTGTTCAGGCCTTCTTAAAATAGAGGCTGTGCTTCTTGAGTGTTTAGAATGTGTGAAATGTTATTGTGAGCGTTGGGTCTGATCCCTTCATGCAGGGTTGGGGGGAAAAGCTTTTCCTCCTTGGCTGGTGCATGCCCATGTCAGGCAGCCTGCAGGAGATGCTCTTTTCTCTCTTGTTTTTCATCATTGACGTGGGGGAGAAGATCCCAGGCTTGGCAGCAGCAGCAAATAGGCTGTATATGTCCAACCATATATTAAGTCCATCCTAACAATCCCCTTAATACACAGTATATAATGATTTGAAGCTGCCTCGTTGTGTTCTCGGTGCGGTTTCTGTGCAGCCTTAAGTGCTAATTGTGTGTGAAAGTTGCCTGCTGGCTGAAGGGAAACCAAAAGTGTCTTTGGAATCGAGGAATTAAAGATCTGTTGCTGCTACAATTCTTTGCAGATTTTAAGAATGTATTTTTTTAAAAAACTTGATTCTCTTCTGCATCCTCAAAAGATTCACTGTGGACTGGTCAAGTAAGAAGTGTCCTTGTTTAAATTTAACCGATCTCTTAAAAAAGAATCTTTATAGCCAAGGGAGGCTTGGGCTTCCCATAATATAATAGGAGGTGTTTTTTCTACTCTGGTCTTCCTCCTGACTGTAGAAGGTAGCATTTGGAGAAGGGGTGTCCTCRTCAGTCTCCTGCACAATAGGTAAATGCAATACATCAGCAGCTTTGCCTTTAAAATGACAGTAAAAAAAGACAGTAAAAATGGCTGTGTCAGTTTTACCTGAGTAAATTTTAGATCCGTACCGATTTATTTATTTCTATTAATGGTCTTTTGGAAAATTGTGTATAATATAATAGGCCACTTTTTGTTTTTAAATTTGCAATTTCAGCCTCTGAAGCGCTTCATTTTTAAGAAGTAGAGAACCTAAATGCCACTCTGTTAAGCACCCTAATGTTACATTATTTTTAGTAACTGTTTTGCTGTTGCCACCTATGGGATCCACCAAGGGATGGAACAATTTAAAATACGCTTACAGAAATTCCGCTCGAATACAGGATGTGCCAGTTATAGGAGAACTTAGGCAAGAAGGGACTTTGTATCTTAAGACTCATTTCTATTTCTACTTTTTTGTACTTAAGGAAGTTAGTTTGTAAATAGCAGCTTTGTCATCTAAATGCACATTATATAAGAACCAAAAATAGAGGGGAAAAAGCCTTACACATAACATTTACCAAGTAACTGCTAATCTCCAGTGTCAGCTTAGTTTCATGATATGATTAATCCTTGCAATGCACCTCTGCTGGTGAATTTCTCTCCCTCATAATGGCTGTAATAGTTGAAAAACATTGTTGAATTTCATCTGTTCTTATTAACAGGGATCTTTTTAGGGATAATGGAAGTACCTCAGTCAGTTTCAGTACAGTTCTCCCGTCAGCCCCTGGAAGATGCAGGGAGATGGAGCAGCTGCAGTTATTCAGCTGACAGCTTTGCTGGACTTCTGCACTCATCAGCTTTAAAATACCACCTTTCAATATTTCGATGTATAAAGTGACTTTTCTTGAAAATGATTTTTTGTGACTTTACGGTGAAGAATTTTATTTATTCAAAGTRCTTAACTGATTCTTGACATACACTTTTTTCCCCCACTCTGTGAGTAATTAGAAACTCTTGCTCTATACTGGACTTTTTCACACTTCTCCAGCTTTTGGACCTGTAAACATTTTCCACTGAAGTACTAGCAAACTTTGGCATATTGGTGGTAGTTCTGTTYCTTTGCTAGGCACCATCTCTGAATCGCCAGGGATCCTTGCGGGGAGGCATTAGTCAGTCTTGCAACAGACAAACCTGGATGAGCCGGGTATTTCACCTGAGTGCACTTATAAAACCGAGGCCACAGGTGAAATTTTTGTCTTGGCTRCTGTAAGCATGCCACACAAAGAACAAAGACGACAAATCTGATTATTTTTCCTGCCTTGAAAGAAAAATAACCTGTATTTGAAGTATCTGAGTCTCTTAAGCTTTTTAAACTTGAGTATATGAGCAATTTTTTCTGATATTTTTTCCTTTTTAAAATTTTGTAGTAATACTTTGTCTTTTGAAACTTAATATAAACCTTCTGCGCATTGAAAGGTGACTAAGAGAATTTTTCAAGGTTGGTTTAGACTGAATTTTGGTCTCATCTTTTATATGTAGCATTTAGCCTTGAAAAGTGATTTAGCTTTATTAGAAAAGTTTACCTTAGTGTTCTCTTTTCTTTTTAATCTTTAATTTCATTTTTCCTTTGGTTCTAGGTACAGCTGCTTTAGAAGAAGACGCACAAATTCTTAAAGTCATTGAAGCCTATTGCACAAGTGCCAAAACACGTCAAACACTAAATTCAAGTAAGTTCCAAAGTGCTGAAATAGCTAAATGAAACACAATTTTGATTCTTAAAAAAAAAAAAAGACCAAAAGACCCTTTGTCTCTGGCCAAAGGTCTCTGGCCTTTGCAGGCAGTAAAGCGGACCTGGACATAGCACTTTGTTTCTTGTTCAATGTTAGCCAAGTTCCAGTGTAGGAGACTATCATTCTGTGAGATTCTTGTTTTTTTGGGGGGGAGGAAAGAGAGAGGGGTTGGTTTTATTTGTTTTTGTTCATTTCTGTGTGTTTTTTTTGTTGCTATTGTTGTTTGTTTCTGTTTGTTTTGTTACAAGATGTGTTACTAGTCATGATTCCAAGTTGTGCGTAACCTGCATCAAAAAAGCAGAGGTGTCAGGTGTCTGGACTGAGTATGACAGTTGCTCAGTATGTTTTTTGGTAAATGTTGAGGAGCTGGTAAGTAGAGAAGAGAAATGGAGAGTCGTGTATAGTTTTGGAGAAGTAAATATTTGTTTTGTTTGACTGTTCAGCAAAGACTTCTGATATGGAAAAGTAACCTAGACCCATAGATATTTCTTCTCTTGTCACTATCTCTTTTTAGTATCAATGACAAATTTTATGTCGTAATAGAATTGCAGGAGAAACTCTTCCCCTGGGTCTCTCTGTTGCTTAAGGCCATTTTTAGTTTCTCAGACTGGTATTTAGTCCATTGAAAACCATGCCTTTGAGATCCTACTTCATTTAATCCGAAGTAAGTTTGGTGTGTGGAGCTCCTCTGTATTGTAACACATTGCACAAAGCAGGGGAGCCCACCAGCATTTGTTCCATTTACACAAGGACACAGAAAACGCTGTTGGGCTCGTTCAGATTTGCCCTGTTTTGACGTTACCTAATGAGGATTTAGTTCCCATATGCTTGGAACCCAATATAATGACCCTGAAGTACTAGACTGGTTTTGCCATTAGCTAGAATTAGAAGATTGGACATTTTAACTTCTTGTCCACAAAAAGTGTTTAAATTTGCTGTATTAGTCGCTTATTTCTAGCAGAGAGTTCTGTGCCTATTTTGCTTCCAAGCAAAAATTCTTTCTGCTGGACACTGGGAAGGCTCAAAGTGCAGCAGCAGGATTTGTTCACAGATTTCTCCTAACACAAGTTCACTTACTTTTATCACCTTGAATATCCAGCAGGTTTCTGTTCCTATGTACTTCAAAATAGGWATGCAGCCTCTTATATGAAGGAGTGGGCTGCATTGCTCTGTTTTTTTCCTTTTTTTTTTTTTTTTTTATGTTTAGGTTTTGGAAACACGTAACAGCAAAAACCTTCATTTTAATTTTTCCTAGACAAACTGTTGGTCTCCAAGGTGATAAATCTGTTTTGCAAATTGGCTTCTATTAGATCATTTTTGATTAATCTTAATATGTATTTTTTAGCCTTACAGCCATTACCCTAATGTGTTTAATTTGATAATAGGAAATGAGTGYGTTCAAACTTCTGAACATACACTGTTATTCCAAGCAAAATTCATTGAGACTATTGCTGTTTAAAATGTTGCAACTGTGCTCTGTTCATTATTTTCAGGGTTATTGTGACAAGAAATGGTTGGGGAAACATTTGCACTTGCACAATTTGTGTGTGCAGTCACATAATGAATGTTCGTTTTTGCTTTTTTTTGCCTATTTTTCCTTTCTATGTATATTTAAGAAATATACATAGTGCAATAGACGTCATTGCATACATCAGAAGTCARCAGCTTTTATTTGCACTTAATTGCAGCAAGAAACAATGATTTTATAGTTGAAGCGCACGGCTGCTCTCTTTGGGAACAGTAGGGTTGGCGTCTAAGACCTCGAGTATCAGAAGATCCATTTGTAGCTGCAGTTGGAGGTGGAAAGAGTCGCTCAGTTCCCTGCTCGAGTTGCTTCTGTGTTTTTGGTACAGAAGAATGGAACTAAATGATTTCCAGAAGTTGGTACAAAAGGATAGAGCTAACTAATGTGCAGATATACAGGAAAAAATGTCAMTTTTTTTTATATACTCCTCCCTTACCTTTGTTTCCATGTTCTGCCTGTCCCTCACAGCACTGATTTGGCAGTTCTGCTGTTTAATTTGGAGGGACTGGTACGAAAAAAAAGAGAGGAGAGCTTCCTCTCCTCCTGCATCTTCTAAACTCAATACATTTGAGTTTATATACCTGAGGAGTGTGTAAGGGGTTACAAGCTGCCATACGCTGAAGCAGATCTTAAGCCTTCACTGGAGGGAAAATGCATAAACACTTCTCAGGTAGTGCCAGGCCTCTGGAGGGAGGAGCAGGGGCTAAAGCAGCCGTAGAAGGAAGAAGTGGCTTGTGCTGCTTTTGTGCACTCCCCGAGACACCTCAAAGCTCTTAACGGGGAAGGTGGATTTAGACAAAGTCCTTTGGAAACAGGGGAGTGTGGCCATAGAAGGGAGTCTGACTGGGGTGACTTTAGTCTCTTGCCCCTTTTCTATGAGACCAGTTACTTGTTTAAACAAATAACKGTGGGAACAGGTACAGAAGAACCTGTAATGGGACAGCCCCTTTGAGTGAGCGTAGGGATTTTAAAAAGATTTTAAGAKTAAAAAAAAATGAGCAGCCCTGCTCTGCATGAGAACGCCTCTAAACCCTTGGTTATTTTCTCCTGTATTTCTTCCTCTATAATGCTGACACCTGCACTTCCGTGGCTGTGTTGTGAGCTGGTGGGGAGACCGCTGCCCTCAGAGATCTTTGGAAGGGTTAATCTTCCTTGGAAATTGGTCCCTGATCTGGTTCACCCAGCAGCTCTGGAAATGGCCRCTCCATTGCGAGGCGGGGGACTAGCAGCGAGCCGTGGGGAGGGGAAAGTGCTGCTGCTTTTCATGCCAGTGCTGCGTTGGGACGGCCCAATGTGCTCCTTGATCTGTCCCAATCCTTATTCYCCCAGACCAGGGGTGACTCCATATTTGAAAAGAACCAAACCTTCCCCTTCCAAAGAAAAAGATCTGTCCTCAAAAAAGATTTTGCTTATTTGGAATTCTCGACTGAGGGTTCTTCAAAACTTAACCGCAACTTTGAAAATTGTGTTATAAAAATTCAAAAGTTATTACGTGATGAATGTAATTTATACTGAAAGCCCAACCAAAAAAAAAAAAAAAAAAAAAAAAGAAAAGAAAAAAGCTTTGGTGCCTTTTTAACAATATTTTCTCTTTTCCTTCTCTTCCCATCACCTTTTGCTTTTGTTTCATGTGTTTGGTTGTGGCTTTTCCTTCCGTTCTCCTCCTCATCCCACCTCTGCCTATCCACATCCGCCATCTCATTTCACCCATACATCCTTAGCATGGCAAGGCACTGACCTGATGCATAATCACGTCTTGGCTGATGATGACCAATCAAGTCTAGACTCCTTGGGTCGTCGCAGTAGCCTTTCTCGTTTGGAGCCTTCAGACCTCTCAGAAGACTCTGACTATGACAGTATATGGACAGCCCATAGTTACAGAATGGGGTCTACATCTCGTAAGAGCTGTTGCTCATATATCTCTCACCAGAACTAATGCACTTCTGAGCTTTTTTCTTAACAAATGCTTGTTGTATCACAGCCTGCTTTTCTTAGATGTTTTCTTGCTGTTCCTTGTCTCTTTAATGTGATATTTTAACAACTTCCGAGGGAGCTTCTGACACTTGAGTTATACCTGGTGGAAGGCTCTATTGCCAATTTAATACACATACCAATAAGTCATTTTAAAGAGTGTATATCCTGTTAAGGATGGTATTGAGGGTTTTTTAAGTGACTGACATTAATATGTAGCTCTGAATGGTCTGTTTTTTTGACTTGGTCAGTGTAGCAACAGGTCCTTTCTTCTTCTCTTTTTTTTTTTTTGTGTTTCTTTTGGATACAGCACGTTTTTTGTATTTTGTACTGAAACCATACTGGTCTGTGAGCCAAGTGCCAGCAATACGGAAATACTTTAGCCTTAGTGGTTGAATTTTCTATATATTATTAGCAAATTACAAAGCTGGTAGAGTAAAAGAAATCTGATTGAAAAGCAAGGAGTACAAGAAATGTAAAATCATTCAGATATTCACATATCGGTCCCACTTGTTTGGAAGAACATATGCTAATCCATGAAAATTTCTGTTTTTATACTGCTGCCTTTTCCTCATTGCTTAGACGTTTATATGAAGGATCACACTGCTTCCCCTCACTCCCAGTCTGGCAGTTATCATGAAAACCTGGCAGCCCATGCTCATTACATGCAGTGTTTTGGAAATCTCATGTAACTTACGGTCATACTGTCACTTTACTGTATGCGATAGTGCGGTAGAAAGCAGATTTAGATGCTTACTTGCCTGTTAAAATGCAGAGCTGTCAACTATCAGTTGACTGTTCCTCTTGAAAAGACAAGATGGAAGTGGTTCCCYAGATGAGCTTGAGTGTTCAGCAGGTGAAGCTCTAGGTACAGGTGTGACCAGATGCGATCAACTTGTGTGAAGCTCTCAAGAATAGAGTGCTTGGCTTTCGTTTTTTCCCRTTTGGAGCATGTCCGTGATGGATTTTGTCTTGTAACTTTTCCCGTGAGCAGGTTGGTTTTCAGCAACAACCCTTTCCTTACAGTAATGTTGGTTTTGCAGAGAGCTGTGACACCTCATTCCCAGCTGAAGGTCTAGGACCTGCACGTGGGCCAAGCGTGGGGCCGAGCATGGGGTCTGCCTCGTGGATGACACAATTGGAACTGAAACAAAGATGAAAGATTTTCTAATTCACTAGCATTAGGGAAAAGCCTGTGCTAAAAGGGCAGCAGCAGTTCTCATTGTCGCCAGGATGCCCRGCTGCAATTCCCTAACTCCCTTTCCAATCGGGATGAAAAGCGAGTATTAGTGCTTGAACAAGCCCAGAGTAATCATGGTGCAATTGACTGCTGCCTGGGAACTTGATCACACTCTTCAAAAGTTTACAATAATGAAATAATAATTACTAATTTAATTATAATCAATTTCTGCAGTTAACTTGAGCAGAAAGTGAATAACTGCTAGACACAAATGATTCCCAAAGGTTATTGGCATGGAGGAAGCTATTTCCAAGTAGTTGCTGTCTGTAGATTTACATTCGGTCTTGCATTGTTTGGTCACCTGTTCTATCCTCTCGCTGTTGTTTGTATTTGCAAATTGGACTAACAGAAGCCACATTGGTCACTGAAGAGAATTTTCAGGGGTACATGAGGAGGAGAAAAAAAAAAAAAAAAGGTCATTTGTTAACTTAATGACGAGGAACTTACRTATAGTTTTATTTGAACCGGAGGAGTCTTGGTTAGAGAGCTGAAATAAGTCTGTGTGCCCCATGCCATTCCACTGTGCATCTGTAAGCCACTTTGCTTTTCCTTTGAGTCAAGAGTATTTGTTCTAAATTATATGAAAAGTATGGATTGCTTTTTTCCCCGTTTCTTAAGCTGTGGTGTTCTAGTTAACTAATCTKTTCTGCATTGGATAAATGATAGTTCTTTCATGTCTGTTATATGTTATATAGTGTAAATATGAGTTTGAAATACAGTTGCTGCACTGGAACTTTCCTTATCACGCAGAATGTTTTGTTACCCAGATCTGAAGATTCTATTGACTTTCTATGCACCAAAGCTTTGACAGTTTACCACCATTAATTATTGTAGCATTTGAGTCACATAGTTACCATAATTACGATCTTTCATATTAACATCACTGCACAGTTAAAATCATTTGCTGCCTTCAGTGTTACAGGCCAAGAGCTATTGTGAACTGATGAGGAGTATTAATGCAACACGCTTAAAAAAAATGCAAGTGTGGAGATGGTGGTATTCAGTCCAAAGGGTCCGTGTTTCTATTTTTGTGGAACTTTAGTCCTGGTAACACTAGTACCTGATGTTTATGCAATTCTGTAAAATACACGTGTACAGTTAATACTGCAAGGATGGAGAGTCTGAATGAGAAGGTAGGTTCAAGCCATTGTCAGCCCCTCTTCACGTGGCTTATCCAGTGTTTCCATAAAACTAGTACTTGCCATAAGCCCAAACCGATCTGTATTAATTGGGTGTTTTGCATAACCTTGCCAAAACACAGTAATGTGTGTATATAGTGGCGTGAGACATAGAAGAAAATGATCTATATTGTGAACTTCATTTGTGAATGGGAGAAGCCATCTTTAGTAGGCGACTGCCTTTTGAAACCACAAAATGGATGTATATCTGAATGTTGCATTGTACTGTACAGTATGCCTATTGTTTGTGGTTGCATATATCAACTCAGTGTTTTGTTTTCTATACAAAGGATATCTGTTATGTACAGTTGAAATAAATTTTGCATTTGCTAGACTGTGACTTTAATAYTTAATTCTTGCATAGGGGGAAAAGGATGGCAGAACTTGCACCGTACCTCTTCTTACCTCCCTCTTCTCCCCTTGCCTCCTTTCCCTCTCTCTCCTCTCCAGAGCAAGCAAATTTTGAGGCAAAAGTGGGGGGTATTTTTGTCGACTCAGTGTTCAATTTAATGTGCTTGTGTTACATGAATGTGTTCAATGTAATTAACAACTGCAGGCAACTCCACCTGAACTGTGTATCCTTATGTATATTATCCCCCCTGTGGAAACTTTGCCATGTTTTTCTGACTTTGTTGACTGTCATTTTAATTTTTTAACTGATTTTATTGCCTTTTTTTATTGTTTGTACTGGTATGTGCTCAGTAAAAGCACAGGCTGAATAACTGGAACAATTCAAGACCAATTTCTGTAAGCCCTGTTACCAGAGATGGTTTCTSTTTCTACACCCTTATATATTTTTAAGATTAAATACTATAACATATTGGTCTTTAAAACAACAGTTATTCTGAGTGCTTCTACTAAAAGCTGCTTAAATTTGACAGAATTTAAATAAAATAAYGGACTACTGTAAATACTAAAATGTTTGCATCAGAATATATATCGTGAAGGAGCAGACAGCAGATATAATCCCCTAGTACTCCTACAGTGTCTTAAAAACTTTTGCTAGGACTGTAGCAATTGTAGTTTTAGCCCTACAGCCCTCCGGTTGCGTATTTTTTATTGGTTGATGAAATACAGGAAACAGTAGGGCAGCTCTCTCAAAAATTGTCTTAGAAATCTCTCACTTTTTCAGGTGATTTCTGYGTCTATCAGAGTATTTACTGTGTTCTTAAATGGCCAAGACCTGCATATTGAGTTGCTCATTGATTACAGTCCATTTCAATGATCAAAACATTTTGCTGTAAACTGTACAAATCTGTCATCTTAGTTATGTGGAGTTCTTTCCTACCAGTATCTCTACCAGTTAAAAAAGAATCATAAAACATTCATGTCAAGACCTGTTTGCTACTCCCAAGGCTGTAAAATTTATAGTGAGGGCTTAAGCTTGGCCCATTATGAATTGTTGCCTGCATGAGATACTGAAGAGCTTCCTCTTGACTTCAGCAGATCTGTACCATGAATGATTTTGTTTGTTTGTTTATTTATTAGTGCTTTGGCTAGAGCTTGGAAGCACTAATTCACTAATTTTAGGATTCTTSATTTTGGGAGTTCACTAAAGATTCTTGGAGAAAAAGAGTTATTGTGGCCGGTCTGGTCATCCATTTCAACATCTTGAATTTGGCTAATGTAAGGAGAAGTTGTGTGTTTAAACTCATGAGTAATTCTTATGTTTTGTGCAGTTTTTGCTTCCACAGGAAAATGCCATGTCTTGTGTGCCCTGGTGGCTAATCAGGCTTTTACCGGGTGTATGTGCACGTATTTGTGTTTCAGTTGCCAGTCAGACTTCTGTCTTTGAAACTCAGGGGAATAAGTTTGAAGAGCTTCTTAGCTTGTGAAGAGATTCTAGTTCAGTTGGTAGAAACCCAAATTGTATATTTGCAAATCCGGTTTTTAAGTTTTTAACTTTATTCATATGACCCAATATTATTATTTTGCTTTGTTCCTCTCCTTGCCTCTCCAAATTCAAAAAAAAAAAAAAAAAAAAAAAAAAAAAAGAGAGAGAGATGCTTAGGAGTTGTTTAGTAGTTTAGTAGAGCTGTTCCTTGTGGTATCAAATTATGCCATGAGTTTGGGACATGAACCACCACAGAGGGGAATATGGGCAAATTTAAGAGCTGAACTTCTGTTGCTCAAATTAAGAACCTCATAATCGCAGGCGAAAGGCAAATCTCTCATTYGCCATGAAAGCACCTAGGCTGAGCCTTGGCACAAGGGCCTTCTGGAGGCCTCCTGTTCTTGGTGGACTGCCTGCTGAGGCCCTGAGCTTAGCTGCTCGGAGCAGGGGGTGAATCCTCACCTCTGCTTTCCCTCCGCTACTACTTTGTTGGCTTAGAAGGTTCCTAAGTAAATGAGGTGTCTCTGAACATAAGCAGAGAATTAATATTGCTTACAATGGAAAAAATATCTAAATATCATCTGCTTCTGCTCGTGTTTCCCTTCTGCCTGATGTGATAAGTTCTGAGGAAAACTTCTGGACTCCCCTCGTGCCTCCTAAAAGATTCAAAAAGAAGGACCAGACTGATTACCAGCACTCCTCCTTTTGAAGTCTGACTCCTGTAAGGAACCAGCATCATATCATACGAACCTTTTTATTTATTATTATTATTATTTTTAATTTAAATGTCTCTTGCTCCCATCAAAGAGAGAATAAAAAATAAAGAAAAWAAATAAACTGGGATCAGAGTTACACTTGCAACCACACGTCACTGGGAACCTCCCTGGAGTTCAGTCTGCACTCTTGTTGCTTTCCAACTGGTGTTAAGGCTCAGGAGGGAGAGGGCTTTCCCTCCCTTGCTCCCTCCTTTTCTCCCTCTCCCTCCTGCCCTCTCTCCATCCCTCCTTCCCCTCGTCTCCCCCTCTTTCTCCTCCCCCCCCCCCCTTCCATCCTTAGTTTAAACTAAGGTTGCACTGTCTCAAAGTAGCGCAGGGCTAGGAGTGTTAGGTGTCAGTTTAAATACGGTCTTTTTGCATGTCTGAGTCAGAATGAGGCTGAGTGAAGTCTCTAAGAAATTCAGCACAGAACTTGCAGATTTAGGRTGGAGGAATGGTGGCTGCATCAACCTGAAGCAAATTGTGATTCTTCTTTGTGAACCTTGAATACATCCTGGAGAGGTGCTTACGGGTAATCTAAGCTGTAGCAACCTCCCGGACTCCCTTAATGCAGCTCTGAATGTGACATCCACTGCCCTAATGCAATATACGAGCTATGATGTAGCCTCTGTCTTCCTGTCCTATCCGGACAGAGGCACAAGATGTGGTTTAGGGAATATTAGTTAGTGCCAGTAATGAAGTGACACTTCTTAAAATTTCTATTTAGATGCACATTTGCAAGTAAATGCATTCTTAAAAAAGAAACAAAGCTTTTTGCATAAATGGCATGGAGAAACAAGACAATGAAATACTGTAGTTTTGCTCTTAGAGCTTGGCACGGGAAGTCTGATATTATTGTGTAAATATTCATTTGATKACAGTTGTGTTGCAGGATAGATGCATGCTTATACCTTTTGATACTTTGAGGTTAAAAAAGGAAAAATGCCTTCTTTTTTTCAGTATAAAGATGAACCATAAAAGCAGAGGGTTCTGCGGTATGAGTGAGAAAAGTTGCAGTGTGAATTAGGGCATCAGAACCATGAAAGCCAGCTTAAAACTTACCCTGAATTCCATGCTAGTTAATACATTGTGCCCCAAAAAGGTCGCTGTAGACAGCAGCAGTTTGCATCACGTAAGTGTGTACGTGTGGAGCAGCCGTCCCCATTTGTATGTGGCTGGAAAGCTTTGCTTTCATGGAGCTGCCCCTTGTGTGTCTCCGCAGCGTTAGGTGTGCTGTGCGGTCCGCAGGCAGGCGCTGATGTGTGCACATCTGTTTGAGCTGCATGCCTGTATACAGCTGTGATTTGTTTTTGTCATTATGTTTTAAAGCTGTCTCCTCCATGCTATTTCTACCTTTCAAAGGACCCGTGTTACTCTGACCAGGCAAAGACAACTGAACGGAGCTCCATATAGAAGTAACCGTAGCGTGCTGCTCCCTTTGGCTGACGGGCAYCACGGGGGAGAAACACAGTCCTCCTTGGCTCAATTCCTCCCTCAGCGGGTGCTGCACTGAGGTGCTCAGAATTGAGATGCTGGAACCCCAAATTTAGTGATCCAGTGGCAGCAGGTGTTTAACTAACTCCCTGAAATAGCCGTGAGCTCGATGTTTTGTGTTTGTTTTGAGCTAATAAAGCAGAGCAGTAACCAATTAATTGAAACAGATGAGAGACATTTTTGCAGTTAATGGTTGATAACACAAACAGGGAAGTGCCCTTGAGCCCCTTATAGAGCTTTATTTCTCAAATCAACCTTCCCTAAGAAGTTTGTGGGGTTGTATATTTTTTTAAATCAACCCATTAAAGATTTATCCACAGAGGTCAAGAATTACAACTTTCAAGGACAAGTTTCTGTTCTSAGGTGTACAGTAGTCATTACTCCATAAAATCTGATTGCTTAAAAGAAACAGCTTAAAAATTCTTTCCTCCATTAAAGGGTATTTGACCTTATTTCCTAAAATAATGTAACTAGCTGAGCTATATTCTTTTTCTYTTCTACAAGCTCATGTGCAGAACTCAACACAGCAGTGTTTAGTGTGAGTTAATATTTTCATTGAGCTTGATTTCTTTAATTTTGTGTGTGTTGATGAACTCTAGAATAAAAACGCTGTCACTGCAAAGCAGCTGTTGGCAAGAACTAAGTAATTTTTCCTAATGGGCACTCAYTCCGTAGTAGACAATTACCAGTTCAAACTGTCTTTCAAATTAAGCTAATTCTGCTTAGTCAAAATTGGTTACAATGAATGCGTAAGCAACTGCCTATTGATCGTTAATATTGATTGGGATATGTTAGTTAAATATGCAAGAACTTCAATGCCTTATCTACTCTGCTTGAATTCTGAAACAATTCCTAGATATCTATTTATTTACAGATGTATACAAAAAAATTTCATATTGAAAAATATGCTAGTAATTTGTTGCAGCTTAATTAAATGACATTTCAAAAATATATACATTTTGGATGGACACATCTCTGTGCATTAGTTTTGCTAATTAGAAACATTTTTAGAAACTATATGAATTATTTTSATGTTAAAATTGTAAGATTTGAGAAAAAATATTCTGAAGATATTACCGAATGTTTTGAGTTTTGTCATCAAACCATTTTAGCTGTTTTAAAATTATGTATTAAATATGAACTCGGTTTCATTTGGTAGCAGTTTATTATGGGCCTCAAGGGCTGTGTTTACGTGTATGTGTATATATGTCTATGCACATATATGCACAATTGTGGTGTTTATGCCTTTCCTTCTGGGAAAATGATTTTTTCCTCCTTCCATCCTTGCCTCATTTGATATCTGTCTTCTGCTCCTCACTGACAGAGTAATTCAGTTTAGAGTGGAATTATTTCTTTGATGTATATCAATRTGAGATCAAAATCTGGCCTTGAGGCTTAAACTGCTGTTAGTTAAACACATCATTCATTCATTCTCTGTTGCAGCTGTGATAAATTTGTATAAATGTACTGCATATTATAGTGTACTGTTCCTTAAACTAGCTGTAACTTCTCTATCAATAACACGGAGGGCTTCTGTCACCAAAAGGGTAGGAGTGAGTCAGCCCCCCCCTTTTTTTTTTTTTTTTTAAAGTGTAGGATTGTGGATTCAAATGTAAAAAGATATGTTGGTAACTGTAAGTGTAGAAGGGAGGACAGAACTGAAATACCTTGGCCATATAGTGTATCTTACAATATGTGAAATAACAAGCTTTCAAATATCCCAATATCATTTGCAACGTGCTCATTTTGTAATTTATTTTTACAACAGGTTCCCGTAAAGAATCAGCTCCTCAAGTCCTGCTTCCAGAAGAAGAGAAAATTATTGTAGAAGAAACTAAAAGTAATGGTCAGACTGTTATAGAAGAGAAGTAAGACAATTTTTAATGACTGATGGATTAAAGCAGACTTGGCACTCTTTTTCCTCCTTCCACCTCCTGTTGTAGCACCAGGGATGTGTTGGGGGGGTCATGTTGCTAGTGGAGGAGTCTGGAGTTCGCTGCCAGGCCTGGCAGTGTAGTGGGCCCTTCACTTAGATGCTGTATGTGCCACTGCGTTGCTTTCTTCTGTAGTAAGAATTGATGTTTTTCACTTGTAAGTGGCTTTCCTGAGTGCTATAGAATTGTGGTATCATCTTTGCATTTTGTGTGGCGTATCCAGTTTGAGGATGTTTTTTGTTCTTTTTTTTTTTTTTTTTTGTATTTAGGATGCTTTTTTTTTAGTAATATATTGAAAGTGAAATACAATTCTGTTGCAGGAGCAATGAATACAATGAGTGTAGTGGGCCCTTCACTTAGATGCTGTATGTGCCACTGCGTTGCTTTCTTCTGTAGTAAGAATTGATGTTTTTCACTTGTAAGTGGCTTTCCNTTTTTTTTTTTTTTTTTTTGTATTTAGGATGCTTTTTTTTTAGTAATATATTGAAAGTGAAATACAATTCTGTTGCAGGAGCAATGCACAGAATGGACTTGTGCTGGTTTCTGTATTATGTTTCTGTAACAGGATTCCATTTCAAGTCTGTTTTTGTTTGAGGCCTGTGTCCTGTCATAGAAGGTAGTGAAAGGTCCTCGTGTAATGACATAAATCACACAAAGAGGTGATTAAAACAAGTTTGTGAAAATGCGTGTTAGCTGTTTTTTGGTTTTAGTGTTTTTCATATATCAGTTTAATATTAGATTTCCTTATGTTTTCTGAAAACTCTTGTAACAGTTATTCTTTTCTTCTTATCTTAGAAGCCTTGTCGACACAGTATATGCATTAAAGGATGAAGTACAGGAATTAAGACAGGTTGGTAACTTGCTATATTTATACCAGAGAATGGAAGGATGGAAGGCACAATATACAAATAAATACATATTTTTAAATGGTGTAGTTTAGTAGGGATGAATTTACGTCTTGCACTAAACTAAAACCCTGAAATTTGCTTTTAAAAGTAAAACTTGCCATTTTGACAAAAGATGCTCTGTTTTGTTGTTATGTGACCTGTGAGAATTGTGTTAWATATCCTGAGTGATTTACTAAGCTGGCTTTCATTTATTTTTGAATGCTATAACTTGTAAACTGTTACAAGTTGCTATAATAAATGTGTAGAGCCTGCAGAATACTATTTGTTCTTAGGGCATAAAACTTTTATAGGGCTAGTTTAGACTTTTTATTTTTAACAGTCCTTCAGTAATCAGAGCACCTCCTGCAACTCAGTTCTTAAAAGCTCTCATTTCAGGAGACAAATGAGTCCTTTGCACTGCTCATTGTGTGGCCTTTTTTTTTTTTTTAATGAGGGCTACAGGTTAGTTTAGGTGACTAATTTATCACTTGAGGGAATTGCATAAGTTCTCACCTGCATAGCTGGTAGGGAAGAGGCAGCTGGTGTTTTAAGCATGTTTTAAGTTTAAAAATATCTCTTGTTAAGACACAGTGTGTTTAAACCTCATTTATGTTTTTGATGGTTTCAGCCTATAAAGCATGTGTATCCCAKCTTTATGTGAAACTTCATGTCATCTTTAAAATTATGGATCATTTAACGTAGGAAATTCTGTGATAAGCTGTGAGYCTTTCTCTGGCCTAACTGCTCCAGTATAAAGGATGAAAGTGCTCTGCAGGTCTGTGCATGACCCCGAAAAAGTCACCTTTTCCTAAACTTCAAGTAACAGCCCTCTTCCCTTCTTCCTCTTCAAACAGACAATCTCCTGAGAGCTTTCTCATAGCTTTCAAAACCAAGAGCTATTAAAACCTTATTCCATTTTCCTGCATATTTGGGATCACAGAATCCCAGAATGGTTGAGATTGGAAAGGGCCTCTAAAATCATCTAGTCCAGCCCCCTGCTCCAACAGGGACACCCAGGGCACAGGGCGGCATCCAGGTGGGTTTGGAGACCTCCAGTGAAGGAGATTCCACAACTTCCCTGGGCAGCCTGTKCCAGGGCTCTGGCACCCTCACAGGAAAGAAGTTTTTTCTCAAATTCAGACAGAACTTCTTGTGCTTCAGTCTGTGGTCGTTGTCTCCTATTTCCTATTGCTGGCCACCACTGAAGGTAGTCTGTCCTCGTGCTCTTGGCACGCTCCCATAAGATATTTGCACACACTGATAAGATCCCGTCTCAGTTTCCTTGAGGCTAAACTGGCACAGACCTCCGAGCCCTCTCCTCATACGAGAGATGCCCCAGGCCCTTGGTCATCGTTGCAGATGTAGAACATCATAGCTTGTAAGCATTTACTGGTCCTTTGCTGTGATGTTGCAACTTCTTGAAATGGCAGAGGGAATCTCTGAGATGGGAATGTCCCCATGACCCAAGGCTTCACGGACAGAAGCCCATCCAGGAGTATCTGATGGCTGCTGTCAATCCCAGGCCACCAGTTTGTGACCATTACTACAAAAAGTGGGTCACTTAGCGGTTCCCATCAGTTATTGATCAGTTATCAGTTAGTTATAGCTATTCTTCCACAGGGATTACAGTGTAATAGATTTCTGAACAGGGTGGGAATGAGGGAACAGGAAGGAAAGTAAGGAACTGTGGATCTTCAAGAAGAAATTTTAATTTCTCAGTTTGCCAGCAGACTTGGGGAGATAATGAAGGAAAGGAGGAGGCAGAGGTGGATACCTTTCAGTTTCTAGAAATTTATGGAGATGAAAACTAATGGGAGTCCAGTTGGAATCGCCGGATTATAGACGCATGTTATTCARTACCAGGAGACCCTTGATCTTGGGGTCTTAATCAGAAGTTAAGACAGCAGTTATATTGCTCTCCTACTTTTTCCAGCATCACCATGGTCTCTGCTGGAATAAACCATGTAAGCATTGCTGTGGTTTGGTCAGTGATATTGATACAGCTCTAGTAATAATGTCATAATGTCATTTTGGTGCACAGTGCAGAATATTGAGACCTGATACATTCATTAATACATGTGCATGAGGATRGCGTTTCTTTAAATTCAGACTCTCTCTCTACTGTTTGTAGTTGTCTGGCTGGCTTAAGACTTGGTCTTAAAAATATATATATTTCTGAGAACGTAAATAAAAATGTCAAGATGTTCCTTGTAACTATTTGCTCCTAATTAAGGAAGTTAATTTGCATTATGTTGAAGAAGCTTTTCTGAGATTGTGAAACTAGTTATAATAACAGGAGGCTCTTAGAGGGATGTATTTACTACTGTTAGTGTTGTGATTTCTTCTCATTTAACACCAAATACACTCTTCATTGATCAGCTTTGAGTAGAAGAATTGAAAATTATTGATCATCTATTACTCGCACCTGCATTGTAAAGCACACCTCAGGAAATGCCTGTGTTTCCATTTGGTGGTTTTCTTTCATTGGGTCAAGTACTGTGTCAGACTTGTACTATTTTAGCAGAAGGCAGAAGAGCTGCTTTGCTTTTGAACAGCTAGTTACAGTCTTACTGAGAAGAGCCTCCTGAATTTGTGGTGATTGGTGTGTGCTGGAAAAGATCTGTTTATTGTTGTAAAAAATATACTGATATTTCTGTCTCTATTCAACAGGATAACAAAAAGATGAAAAAATCACTGGAAGAAGAACAAAGAGCTCGCAAGGACTTGGAGAAGCTTGTTAGAAAAGTTCTAAAGAACATGAATGACCCCTCTTGGGATGAAACCAACTTATAACTAATTTTTTTTTCTTTCTATTGAAAGACCAGTTRTAAAACTGAGCGGGGAAGCCTTCTGACATTAGTCAGTGTTGCATCAAGAGCACTACAAAACAGGATTTAACTGGATCTAGTTTGTTTTTTTTTTTTTTCCTCTTGCTCTGAACATATAGAAACGGTCAAGCCATTCACTGAAGCAATCTGTACTTGTGTGGAGACCATGGATCCTGAACTCTACTAAACTTAATTTGTTTGCATCTAAATTACCTCATTTTGCAGAAAGTGCAGCACCTGACTAAAAGTCCATGTTTTTCAGTGGCTTTTTAATTAAATATATATTTTTTCTTGTAAATATCTGTAATTTTGAATGCATATGTGATTGATGTATCAGGGCGATAAGGTGGCTTTTTTTTTTTTTCCTCCTGTTGTGATAATGGTCGCAAGTGTTAGAAGTGATGGCACTAGTCTCACCTATGGTTGGCCAGCGTTCTTTGTGGATAATTATGGATTTGTTCCGAATTACCCATTCATCACGCAAGCAAATTTAAGAAGTTTTTCCTATTAACCACTGTATTTAAATTCTCTTATTTATGCTTGTGCATACACTTTAAAACCGTTTACAGTTCTTTAAAACAGTATTAAATCAAATTGCAGAAAGTGTTTATCAACACTAGAAATAATTTTTAGCAAAACAATTGCCCGGGATTTACATCTACTACATCTATTTACGCTTCTTTGGTGGACTAATTTGCTGTGCTTTGGCCACCGAAAGACGTCGGTCCCTGARAGATGTATTGCCTGCTTTTTACTGACTGTGATTTTTAGGTGTTTATGTACTACGTTTTCTATTGTTGGGCTTAAAGATACAGCTGGCTGGTAATTTAATGGATCATACAGTTTGCTAAAGCAAAAAGATAACTGAATCCTTTTTTTTTTTTTTTTGTGAATAAATTGTTGCTATTTATTTTTATGGTCACAACAGTTAAACTCTAGCTAACCTTTTTGAGTAAGGTAAGGCACATGGGCTAGGCCAAACTCCATTCAGAGCTCTCTTTCTATACCACTATATGATACCCTTGGTTTRTTTAGAGTTTCCAGACTGTGGAAGCGTAGTCAGTCATTCCTTTCCCATCCTGTTTTCTCAGAATATTACTGGTTTCCATCCCACTAGAATTTAAACAGAAACAAATCTGGAAATAAAAGTTTTGTTCATCATATTGAAAATTCATAATTTGCACCTCTGACAGATAAGGCAGTACATACAGTGAATACTTTTGAAAACCTTTATTCCTTAGGCTGGTAGGTGTAATTACTGCARTCCTTTCCTACATCTAAAATAGGAGATGCCGCATTAACTGCAAATGATGAGCTTTGGTTGGAGCACTTACCAAGTTCCTTAAAGCTCATCGTAAAAGTTTCTTTGATTTCAGTAGACTTTGGGTCAAGCCCTAAACAGTCCCCTTTTCTGGGCTGTTTTTCTGCATTTAACATCCAAAAGTGCAAACATAGCTCAGACCAAGTCACACCTTTGGTAGTCCTGATTTTCTAATGTCCTTTAACTGGTGTTAAATTTAATGCTTGGACTTGAGCAGATGTTTAGAAACTTTGCAGAGCTGTAACCTGCATGATGAAGATGATAACAACTTTCATGGGCAGCCTAAATCTGATGAAAAATGTATGCTTAAATCAAAAATTACAYATTTGAGAAGCAATTCTGTGGGAACAAATGCTTAATAATATGAATTATTTGATTTTAAAGAACTAAGTATATCTGTAGGTATTTAAATCTGCGTTCCTGCAATATAAAATGTTTATGTTTAATTTTAGAAGAACAGATTGTAAGAAAGAACTAAAAATATGTTCTCTAGCTCAGTTCCATGTATTCAAAACYTTTAAGTTAATAACAAAAAAAGTGTTTCTGTTGTTTGCAGCTGCAGAAAAATGTGAACTGACAAATATAATTATCTTCATATTTAGAAAATACTCTTGCTAAAAGCTACGTGATACTAAACACTGCAAATTAATTGCATATGCTAACATGTTTTTGCTTTCTATATTACTGTGTTAACTTTAATTTTCCGTTGAACATATAGGAAAGGACATTCCAGAGGAAGAAGTACAAACATTAAGTTTTAGCTGTACTTAGCAAATTTTAACTCAGGAACAGCTTCCATCATAACATGATTTTATTTGACATTGTGTTGTAAAGACTAGCATTGCTGTGTAAAATTTGCTGACACTACAGTACCTGTGATCTTACTTCTGACAGTACCCTTATACTGATGTCTAATGAACATGCCTTAAACATTGGGATTAAGCAGTTGTTAAATACGACCAGGACTTAGGGACAGATTTTGGTCAAGGTGAATTGGGATGATGATGCTTTTTTACAGAAAAAAAAAAAAAAAAAGAAAAGAAAAAAAAATTAATACTGTGTGTAGCTTTTGTCCTTAGCTCTAGAGCAGAGAGCGAGATTCGGGCTTTTGGGAACCAAGGAATATCTGAACTTTTTTCTTTTACAATTTGTTATACTGTAAATAGATTGTAAATTGCACCATGTGACCTTCGGAATTGTTGGGAACTTTGTATAAGCATGGATAAATGGGGCACTGTTTATTTAACCTATTAAAGGGTTATTTCTTTGCTCTCATCATTTAGGGATGAGGAGATGAAGCCATTTCTTATCCTGTAGATGTGAAGCACTTTCAGTTCTAAACTGTCCAAAATGTAGCATAACATTTCTCTGTACTTACTGATGTATGCTTGTTTGTCTCACCATGTCATGGCATCTTAAAGATTAAACAACTGGTTGCCTTTGTATAAACCTTCTTAATGCCAATCATTTAGGGAATATTAGGGTATCTGTTTACAGTAACTGTGGAGAACTCAAATTTAGTTTAGATGTCACAATAATATCCTGATATGGACTACTAAAGTGTTTATGCTACATTGCTGTAATTAAACCATGATTTTCCCCCTATACAATGAAGTGTTACATTTTATATAATGTGTGAATTATGAGATTAAGAAGGAAAACGTGTTGTTTTTTTCTGTCTTTCATACAAATAATCCTTGCTACTTAATAGTAGATAAACTGTTTTGAAAGGTCCTTTTCATGGTCTTTTATAATAAAACAGATCGATACTTAGAAAGGGACAGGAAGTAGGATCTTAGCTCTCTTGCATTTAGGAATTTTTACTGCAAAGTCTTTGGCAACCTCAACCAACTAGGACATTGCAAGAGATGCAGGAGATAAAAGATGGAAGCTGATGTGAGGGAGAAAAACAACAACAAAACACAAGAAAATCAAATTGCTCCATAAATAGTTTATCTACGTGCATGAACTCTTCRAATAAAGCAGAGAGTGGTGGTGAGAGTGCATCCTAGGAACATCACTCGCACTTGACATTATGAGGATGCTGTTAATGGTGGGAACCGTAGTGTAGCTACAGGTAAGAGGAAGTGCAGAGAGGCGCCTGTTTGATAAGGTGGCTTCAGCCTTTGGACAGGTATTTGAAAGGGTAAATAACAGTCTTAGATATGTTAAAATTGTATATCCAATACAGTTCAATTTATCAATATCCTGTGGTTGAAAATAGCAAAGGCCTTTTTGTGTAGCATCTGTAATATTTTGACAGAAATCTTTTATTTCCTGGCTTTTCTTTTGTTTCATTATTGAAACACAGACGCTTAAAAGCATTTCAAGGTTCACTTTCTCTATCCTTCCTCCCTTCATCCCACACACTTTCAGSGTTGATTTGGTTCACAGAATGGTTGAGGTTGAAAGGAGTCTCTAGAGATCATCTAGTCCAGCCCCCTGCTCCAGCAGGGACACCCAGAGCACGGGGCACAGGGYGGCATCCAGGTGGGTTTGGAGACCTCCAGAGAAGGAGACTCCACAGCCTSCCTGGGCAGCCTGTTCCAGGGCTCTGTCACCCCCACAGAAAAGATCTTCCTCACATACAGTTGGAACTGCTTGTGTTTCAACTTAAACCCATTTCCCCTTGTCCTATCACTGGCCACCACTGAGAAGAGCTTGACCCCTTCCTCCCTACATTCTCCCTTCAAGTATTTATACATATTGATCAGATCCCCTCTTAACCTTCTCTTCTTCAGGCTAAACAGCCCCAACTCACTCAGTCTCTCCTCATATGATAGATGTTCCAGTCCCTTAATCACCTTTCTTGCTCTCCGCTGGACCCTCTCTAGAAGCTCCATGTCCCTCTTGTCCTGGGGAGCCCAGAACTGCCCCCAATACTCCAGATGCAGCCACACCAGAGCTGAGGAGAGGGGCAGGATCCCCTCCCTTGACCTGCTGGCAGCACTGCTCCTGATGCAGGCCAGGATCCCATTGGCCTTCTTGGCCACGAGGGCACACTGCTGCCTCATGGTTAACTTGGTGTCAATCAGGACTCCCAGGTCCCTCTCTGTGGAGCTGCTCTCCAGCAGGTCAACCCCTAATTTGTACTGGTGTCTGGGGTAAAAAATACAGAATGCTTCACAGATTTGTGCGTCATCTTTGCASATGGGCCATGCTAATCCTCTCTGTATCATTCCAATTTTAGTATATGTGCTGCCGAAGCGAGCACATGGTTAGTTGGTTAGATGACTTAATGACAGCTGTTTACCATCCAGCCACACAAATATATAACATAGCTACTGGCATTGCTGTATAGTGTACTGCATGCCTGAGATAAACTACTCTGCTTACAAGGATGGGATTTAGAGTAGGAACTGAAAGRGTTAGGAAGATAGATGTTTGCTGAGGAAGATGTGAGAGAGATTAAGCTGTTGCTGGAATGAAAAACAGAAAAGATTTTTCCCTCATCTTCTGTTTTGGTTGGGTTCTTGTATGTTGGGTACTTGTTCTCCTTAAGTAACCATTATTTTTTGATTACCATCAGAATTTCTCTCCAAATCATAACTTGTGTCAACAGGTAAGTAAAAGTTCGTGTTTAATTTCTTCTTGTTTCTGAAAGGCTTTTTTGCCCTTTTGTTAATTCCCTTCAGCAAGGAATTTGTGTTCGAAAAATGTTGTCAGGCTTTTGCCCTGTATCTGCCCAGAAACATAGGAAATATGTTGCAAGGGGATAATATGTTTTTATAGCTGGAAAAAAATATGTGGTGTATCARTGAAGAGTTTACAGTGTTTCTGGGGAGACAGAGGAAAAGCAGAGAGAGGATTTGTAGATCACAAATGTGGCAGGTGTGTGGGGAGAGCTACCRAAGTGCTTTGAGACTTGCAAATGCTTGGCCATGCTTTGATGCACTTTGGGCAGGAGKTAAGCAAGTTAATGATGCTACAGGCTGGGCTGGTAGGAGCAGCAGAGARCAGGTAGCATCCTGCTACCAGCACACTACAAAGAGCTGCTTCCACTCAGGCTGTAGCGGTTTTCTGAGAAAAAAAGAGCAATCAAAACAGATCTAGAGATGCTTTTTACTGTACGTGACTGGAGTTGCTAGTGTTTTTTGTATCCCTTCTTTGAACGTGCACAGGTTCTCTTGTATGTGAATATGGCAGAGGTCATAAGATGCTTTTGATTTTCCTGTGTGTAAGGGACAAGGCTTTTCCTTAGGCTTGCATTTAAAAGGCAGTGGAGATGGACACAGAAAACCTTTACCTGCTGCTAGAAATTAATGCTAGGAGTCTGACAGACCGTACGTGGCACCCAGACGATAATGTTACAGGTAGRCTTGGTGGGACTTCCCAAACAATCTTTTTAACCAGTGTATTGCTTATTTCTTTTAGCGATCTCTTGCCTGCCRAACAGCTGTAATCGCTCTGTGTTTTGCTGTAGGCACGGGATGAGAATACAGAAGCAGCGTGTGCTGGCAGTATTTTCCCAGCAGGGGACTGTGTTAGCTTCCGCGTTGTCGGAAATGGCTCACAGTTTCCCTGAATTTGAGGCTATTCTGCGCAGCTAATRTTCGTACTTTTGTATGCTTTTGCAACTGGCTGGAGTTAGCTTTTGTAAATTTGAAGTTGCTTTTCCCAATGCAGGAAATGTAGCCTACTGACAGTTCCTCCTGTAAGAGTAATAGCCCTTTCTGTGGCACTCACTGTAGCCAGCAACTTGATAGTGGCTTGAAAATGTTCACACAGCATTTGGATTAGCAGCTGTATGGTTGATTCTTTTATTTTGTTGCTCTTTTATTTTCCCACATCCCCCTGTCATATGTAACTTATTGCAGTGTCTATGTGTTAATCATCCTAAGGGTCCTCTGAACAAAGTACAGGGTGGATGTGGCGAAGCATGTGGTTTATTSTGAGGTAAAATAAGCAAGGAATTTAATGTCAGGCCTTAGTAAGGAAGGCAGAATTCCAGGCGGCTGAGAAACAAGCACTGCRATAGGACTGGCCTTTCCATCTCCTTCATAAACCCACAAGAACTCCTCTCTTTTGCTGTTCTCCAGCTCAAGAAGCTTCGAGCCACTGCAATGCAGGCTCCATGCACTGCACCTTCCCCACACTATTGCTTTGCTAACACAAGGATTGCTGCTGGGGCTGGAAGCCATAGAGCTATTTTACCTATGCTGGGAAACAGAGCAGGAAAGGGAGAGAGCACCCTGTCCTTTCCAAGCAGTGGAGAGGGAACTTGGTGACTACCTGGGATTTGAAGCTCAGCAATTGGAAACACAGCTGCACTGTACTGGGGCACCAGACCTGCGGAAGGATTTGTGTTAGCACTGAGAGCGGGCTCCATGTATCTCCTGCCTCTCACTGAGCATCTTCATAGTCATTACTAGGAAAAAGACATGTCCTAGTAGACTTTACAGAGCATCAGGATGCTTCAAAACTCTGAAAGGGGACTGGCAATCTTAAAATGCTTTCTCTGTTCCTTAACTGTGTCTTAGAAAAAAACCTGCTAAGAAATCCCAATATTCTTTGCAGTTACATTCTTGTCCTGTGACATCCTYTAGGTTAAGTAGGAAATTTAATGCATCAGTCCGGTACAATCCCAAGGGCTCATTGAGATGTAGGTGAATTGCTAATTGAACCTGTAGCTCATTGAAAATGTAGGTTTAGTATTTAAGACAGCATTTCTCCTTCATGTTGAGTTGTAATTCATGAAATCGTGCAGTTACGATCCCATTTCACTTCTGCAATGAATCAAGGCACTTGGATTATGTAGYAGAGTTTGCTCTCTCGTGCTCATGAGACTGGTTTCAGAGGACCTGTCTAATGGTCAGGTCTTTATTCTCATATTGTTCTGGTGAGAAATCACGTGATGGAGAGCTCTGGGGTGAGGAAAACACAGTGAAATTGCCTTTTCACCTTATCCTGGCTGGGGAAATCCTGGTCGGATCCTTTGGCAAGGCAGCACGTTCCATGCACTATGTATATGGGGACAAACGTGAGCTAGAAAACAYGAAGCAACAAACAAGCAGCTTTTCTAGAATTGCTCAAAACCCTTGGTAAACGGGTTACCATTCTCATTTCTCATACTTCAGAAAAAGGAGCAGAAGGGCTGAAAATATTCCAGCCAAACACTATCTCATCTGAGATGGAAATCTGCAGGCATAGTTTYGTCCACACAGCACTGAGCATCTCATTCCCTGTTGGGAATGTTTGCCGCTCTCTGCTTGGTTCCAGCTGGGGAACGTGACAAAATAAAGAATTTTCTGTGAGGTCACAGGGCTCCGGGCACAACGAGGTGGCTTCCAGGCCACTGGGAAACCGCAGCTGTGTAYGTGAAGCTACTTGCCTGAGCTGCACGGGAGCTTTGTGTTTGTCCATATGCAAGTGCATTAGGCTCCACTCCTCTCTTTACTSTTTATTTTCAGGACCTGTGGCTTGCTGGAAGCTTTGGTTCTCAGTGTTGGTTCTCAGTTGCCCATATGTGCCATGAACGATCGCTTTCTTGTAGTGTGTTTCCTTATAGCATGGGTTCTTCCTGTGGTGCACGTGAACTTCTCCCCAGGGCCAGGCAAYGGTGTAAAATCCGAAGCCTTTGTTAGTTTTCTGCTGAGAAGATCTTCAAACTTTCTGCAGAGCGGGTTTGCAGGTAAGAAGAGAAAGCAGTGAAGCTGCTTCGTGCGTGAGAATTTTGCAAGCAGTGACTATGCAGATCACATTATATTCAACTGCTCAACAAGTCATTACTTGATTTCTAGCCAAAAATATGCTAATGATATGCTAATATGGGGCTGCTCCACCTGTTGCCTTTGCTGTATCTTGCTGTATTTGGGCCAGCCATAATGAAGGGACATTCTGATTTGCAGGACCCTCTTGATCCATGAGTAAACAACCCATGAAATGACTAACAACAACCTAGAACAAAYACCTCAAAGGTGTTCAGAAAAACAAAACAGAGACCTGGCAATCAGATCTCCTCCTTAGCCCATGTTTTGTGTGGGACTGATCTCTAGAAGTGCTATCTATATAGGTGTAAAAAGTGGAGGAGGAGATATTTGAGAAAGAGGAATTGATTGGTTGAACATGGCAATTTGCTGGAGGTGAGGGTGTCAGACAAGCAGATATTTGCCTCTTGCAACACAGCAGCTTAAACACCAAAACAGCAACTTAAAGCATGGCCAGGATATGCAGTCAACTCAATGTGCTTTATTTCACAATATTTAGCTTTATATAAAAAGCTGTTGCATCATAAAGCAAATACAAAGCATTAAAGCAAAATGCCTTTAATGAAAATATTTGCTTTGGTTTTACATGCAATTGAGGGAATGATACACTTCCAAGTGAGGTCACAGCTTAGGAAAAAAGCACATTTCTTTAGAGATGTTTCTGAAATGCAAGCAGTCAATATTGTAATGCTTCACCACAAACTGTAGATACTCTAAAAGCATCATGACACTATTTTAAAGTTAGATTAATAACCTAAGTTGAGAAATGTAGAGGTTCAGTGCTGAACTTGTGTGAAAAACATAAAACAGGGGAAGAGTTTTGGTGATGCTGGCCACTTCCGAAATCCAGGGCAATTTATTCAATTTTAGAACGCTATGAACAAACAAGGTCTACAGGACAGCTCAGCCCGTTCATTTACCATATTTCACTGTATGAGACTTTGTACTGTAAGGAGATTATGTGGTTTAATTAATAATAATGTGTAATGCATTCCTCAGTACAAATAATTTTGTGGAAAATTAAGGCTAGATCCAGAAGCGAGCATCATAAACACAAGGTTCACTCTGCGTCAAATACAACCCYGACAAAAGCCGTGAGTAGCCACAGTGTAAGGGCATAGGCTGGGGGAGCTGGAGAAGGGCCAGCCTCTCTCCTGCCATTTATGCCAATCCTGAAGCCACATACGTTGTGTCCAAATGAGGCAGTGATCCCTGGGCATTGTACTTAAACCTCAGAGAACTGAGCCTGGATGAACTCTGAAAAGAACTGAATTTATTCCTGGATGTGTGCATCCTATGAAGCCATTGGGCTCTGTAAGCACATGCAATGAGGAGGTGACTCCAAGTGTGGAATACCAGTAACCACTATAATAAATCATTTTGCTACAGAGCGCACAAGAGCAGTGGCCCATTTGAACCTTTGCTTAGGCTTGCCACAGACAGCCACCTGGTTTCAGAGATGATATGTCTATATGGGAAGTACAGGTGTGATTGTAGAACAGAGGAA